TACTCAGGTTTCAGTATTCCATTCCACCTTTCTGGTTATTCTCGTTGTTCTTCTTTTTTACTCGTTAGTGAGTTCAAGATCATACGTACATAGTGGTTTCCAGTTTTCCAATCCACCTTTGCGGTTATTTCAAGTTCTCATCGTCATTTATTTTTCCTTGTTAGTTCAAGTCCTTACGTACATCGCTAGCGCCCTCCATGCCCGTCAATACTCGAAGCCGCAAAAAGACCCCACCTGGAGTAATCAACCTCCGCGGACTCAAACGGCGTCAGCAGCTGGAAGCTGAACGAGATCAAGCTGACACTCGCCGCCGTAGGCTAGAGACTCAAACTTCAAATCAAACTCAACCGAACAACCAATCATCCAATCAGCCCCAAAATCAGTCCCAACAATCACCTTCAGAAGCGCTTGAATTGGAAGAAATTACTGTCCATAACTATGGAGATCAGAAGAAATTCTGGACGTTGCAACAAATTGAGGAGCAATTGAAGTCACAGACCGCTGATAATAACTCTCGTCCTAATCCCCTCATCCTGGCCGAAGCAAAAGCGCTTCACGATGCTTTTCAACACTCGCTTCACATGCTTGCAATGATTGGACAAATTCACCTCAACACACTGAAATCACATCTGTAAGTACATCATTTGCAACATCTTCATTCATCACTTTTTCATCATTTAAACTTTTGTATCTGTTGTATCATCTATCTTGATAGCGGTATCGCAGGCAGAACTCGGGCTACGCATCCATGGAATCGATTCCTAGCCTTTGCAAAGTTGGCTTACAAAAACCCTAGTAAGTCCGAGCTCAATTTAGCACTGAATGTACATATGATTGTTTAAAAGTAACTAATTACTGGATAATTCTTTCTTTCCAGTGCCCCTGCGGGGCGCTCCTGACGCAGGTCCGGTTCTAGCCATGCGAAACCAAGCCAACCGTAAAGCATACGACAAGTTGAACGATGACGAATACGCCATATTCACTTCGCGCATCTTCCACGCCTTGGGAGGCTATCCCGACTATTCAGCAATCAATGTAGAAGATCATGAGACTGCCGGGGACTGCGAAGTCCTGATCCCCGAGGTGCCCGCGCTTTCACCGGAAGAGGAAGCGCTGTATCGTCCTATATACGACAAGCTAGTCGATTCGGCAAAAGTTGCAAAAGATCGGGAAAGATTCAAGGCTGATTCACCCGAAAAAAAAGAAAGGCTCTCCCTCCGAGCGTTCAAGAAGAGGGTTCAACAGGTATGTCTCATTTGAAACTCTTTGACCTAGACCATTTATGCTCTTTATCTTCAATCTCTCTCCTCTTTCTGATTCATCTCATGTTACTTGTCGTCCGGATTATCTTCTATTTATCTGATTTATAATATCAAACAACAAATCTGACACGTCTTTGACTGACTATGTCTTCATTTACCATTTCACAAAGCTTCACCATGATGCCGCTCTCGCCGACTTCGACTACTACGCAATTGGGTGTAGCAAGACCTTGGGAACCGGTTGGTGTGAAGAATTCACCTCTTTACCTGAGATCAGCACCTGGATGGACGAGCGAATCAAATTTCAGACAATCTTTCCAATCTACTCCCAAGCCAGACCCAAAATCAAGGAAATTGAAGCGGCTGGCGCAGCTGCCGCGGCAGGCAACAACACCAATACCAACAAATTCACTCGTCCTCCAAATAAGTCAGACCGCGAAAGTACTGAGCTCACAAGTTTGTTGCTAGCACAGACCAGTCAGTTGAACGATATCAGATGATACTACTTTTTAATTTTGACTGACACAACCTTTTTTAACTTTTTAGAGGCACTTGACATTACTCTCCCTACTAGAGGTTTTCCACGAGGTCCAGATCTACCGGCTGTGTTTGATAAACATAAAATTAATCTCAAATTTCTCCGCCATACACAATCAGCGATGTCTATCAGCGAGTTCATGCTAGGATTTGATGGCATGAAAACTCTTGGTCGGCGACATTGGCTTCAGGACATCAAGGATCAGAAATTTATGATGGTCACAAAGGACTCTCCTGTGAATGAGCCTTGGTCGGTCCTGGGAGGCGAAATTCAAGAGGGTGATGATGGTAATGGAGGTAATGGAGCTGCACCTGGTGGCGATGGTGGCGATGTTGGAACTGGTGGAGGAGTTGGCTCCGGTGGTGATAGCAATGGAGTTGGAGCTGGTGGAGGAGTCGGACCCGGCGATGGTGGCGATGTTGGAACTGGTGGTGGAGTTGGATCCGGTGGTGATAGCAATGGAGTTGGAACTGGTGGTGGAGTCGGACCCGGTGGTGATAGTGATGGAGTTGGAACTGGTGGTGGAGTCGGACCCGGTGGTGATAGTGATGGAGTTGGAACTGGTGGTGGTGATGGTGAAATAGGTGATCAATGTGTTCACTTATAACTTCCTCTTATGTTGTTTCTTCTTTCTCTTGAATTGCAACACAATATACACAGTATATTACAAAGTAAACTGATGTCATAAAAAGAGCTCAAGTGAGTAGTGTATTCTGGAGCGTAGCATATCGGATTGATCTGACAACCTATCCAGATACATCTGGGTAAATTAACTACATATACCAGATGGATCTGGATAGATGGCTCAAAAGGGCCATTCAACCTGAGTAGTGTATTCTGGAACGTACCATATCAGATGAATCTGAGTAGAGGCATCACATATAGATATGATTAGTTGAATTACATGCATCTGATAGTCTGATACCTCCTTCATAAGACCAAAATCAATCGTTTTTTTATTTTCACTTTTTTTCACAAAGATACGATACGTAGAGATATATGCTAAGAATTGTATCAATTATAAAAAGTTAATCAATTACAACGTAATATATGGACAAAGTACTCAATTGACAAGGATGACCACCACCTCGAAATAAACAGATCGTATGTCAAACTTAACAAGCTTGTCAGATCTTTCTTTGATTGATCGCTCAATTTAAATTGAAATATTTTCCTTTCTTTTCTTTTTAACGACTTGTTCTTCTTCCGTTGAATCTTGAAGTGGAACGGGGTATACAAATTGAAGAGATTTCTGGCAGTTGTGTATCTCATCTCACGTACTCATCTATCAAGTTGTATTACAGAATGCGAGTTCTTTGTTTTTGTTGAATCTTGAAGTGAAGGTGTTATATACAAATTGAACATGTGTAAACTTCGGGCAGTGATCTCATCTCAGTTATCTCATCTAAGCCATTTAGTTCGCATTTAGTTCGAAGGTCTTCGATTTAGTTTTTGTGAATTATATACTGATCTCTATTCAGCTCTTTGTTTTTTTAATTCATTTAAATTTCTTATTAACATCGATTCACACCTATTCTTATCCAAGTTTCAAGGAAAATCTTATTTTTTGATAACATCAACATAGCAAGAGGCAGGCAAAATGGTTCACAGAAAACCTGTCTTTGCCAAATGTATCAATTTAACAAACAGTTTGTCCGAGACGTCCGAGAGGTGCTTTGTCAAGTCAGCAAAACATATTGAATTCAAGCAAAGAGCATCAAAGGTATTTGATGAGAAGCCAGATGAATGTTGAGATTGGAGGGAAGGATGAGCAGATGTGTATCTCATGTTGAGGAGCGTTGGTTTGCATATGCATCTGTCTCACACGGATGCCGTGGAGGACACGAAAATTCTGTGGAGATGAGTCAGATACATCTGTGGTTCATTGCTTTGAAGTTGATAGTGTGTAGAGAACGTTGCCAGATGCATCTGGATAACTTTAGATCAGGTGAAGCAGATCAATCCAGATGCATCTGGTGTTGTAGTGTGCAGTGTGTGTAGAGAATCAGGTGCATCTGGTTGAATTCAGATGAGGCGTGCCGATGTAACCAGATGTGTCTGGTTAGTTTGACCTCGAATGTGTTGTTGTGTAGGCCGACGTGTCTGGTGTAGTGCGTACATACCCAGATCCATCGGGCATTGCACTTGTCATGTACATAGTGTGAAAACACAGATGAATCTGCTGGTGGAGATTCATCTGTGTTTGGGATCAGATGAGTCCGATTGTGAAGATGTGCATAAGTACATATCCAGATTCATCTGGTATTGTACTTGCTGTGCAGTGTACACATACAGATGAATCTGGTTGTGAAGATGTGTATATGGCGTGTAAAGTCAGATGCATCTGCCTCTGCATCTGAATTTTGGCGCTTGGATCCTGAAATCTTTCAACTGAACGTAAAACATGTTTCCCGCATACTTGAGTGGTTCAAAATCAGAAAATAGACGAATTTGAGAGTGAGAAACAAAAATCTAAAAGTACAACTTGATGTTGTGCCTTTAAGGTGATCGTCTGACTCGCCTGCAAGCATCTGGCAGGTTTCATCGGCAACTAGCCGACCGTACAGTATACGGTTAGGGTCGGCTACATACCGAAGCATCTGTACTTCTCAGGTGGCCCTCAATATGAGCGATGACTACTGAGATAGCTGCATAGGTCTCAGCAGCGGTTGGAACTGGGGCCGGTTCAGGTTCATTCATTTCGGGTTCATTCGGTTCATTGAATTGATCGAGGATGTCTTCAGCAGATGGCTGCTGAGATAAATGGGATGGAGTTTCATCTTCCGGATTGAGGAGTTCAGAGAGCGACATTCGATTTCTGGATGACAGAAGCCCAACATCTTGAAGACGTTGCAGTTGGCCTTCGAGATCCAAACCATCTGGAATCGGAAGGTTATGTCGATCGATCTCGGCCATCCTATGTACAGATGATAACAAAGGTTAGTGTCAGTCAGCACACTTGCAAAAAATAAGCAACAGACCACTTACACAACATCATCTTTGAAATTGATTATACCAGCGTGCCTCCAACAGTTCTTGATCGATTCGGGACTGACACTCTCCCAAGCCCATTTCGCAAGGCGCATAGCAGTAAGGATATCGATGTCATAGACGTTGCTAGCCTTATCATCGGCATTCAGAAGTCGAAAGGCGCGGTTGAGATAACGTTTGCGATAATGACATTTGAAGGCGTGGATTATTCCAGCATCAAGTGGTTGGACATGAGCTGTAAGGTTTGGCCGAAAGAAGTGGAGTCTGATGTTGGTAATTAAGTTGGCTGGGACTGTGTGACCAGCAAAGTTGTCAAGTAACAAGAGGATTTTCCTCCCTTTTGTTCGAAGTTCTCGATCCCAAGAAGAAAGCCACATCTCAAAGATGACAGAAGTCATCCATGAGGTAGCGTTGCTGTAGTAATCAATTCCAAGTTGAGTTGTGGTCTTCTTATTGAAGGCTCGAGGGGATTTCCATCGGCCAATGAAGGAAAGATGTCTTCGATCGGTCCCATTGGCGTTTGTAACGCACACCACAGTTAATCGAGCCTTACTTCCTTTCACACCAGCAGTGCTGGAGGTCGCTAAGCCACGGTCTGGGGGCATCCTGAATCAAATTGTTGTACATACAGAAAGTTTCAATACCAAATTGGTGTAAAAGAAAAGGCAAAGACTAGACCTACGCATAGAAAAGTCCGGTCTCGTCCATATTGTAGACATCAGCTGGTTCAAACTCAGCAGTGATTTCAAGGACACGCTTCCTCTCGTCTTGAACCGTCTCAGGTTTTGCTGAAGCAGCCTCACCATGCCGTTTCATTTCCCGGAGGTTGTGTCTGATTTTAAATGAGTCGAGCCATCCGTTAGTAAGACTAAGCCATTCGGAGCTTTTGATGTTTTCTAGTCGTGCAAAATCTTTCCATTTTTGAATAATTTGATCTCCATCAATAAACCGACCACCCTTCTCGCACGCTCGGATCCAAGTAACAAGTAATTCTTCAATCTTAGGAAATTTAACTTCGGCAATTCGTTTTGTTTGACTACTGACGGTTAAGGCTTTCTCTTTAATATTTGCTTCGTCTTTGACCCATCGACTGATGTTTGGCTGACTAATTGCCAAGTTGGGGTACAGAGCAGAGAAATGGCGAAAGGTTGCTGATTGACTTTTGCTGTTGGCGTGGTACCATTCAATGACTTCGAGTCGTTGGTTATAAGTGAGACTTTGCTTGGAAGATGAGTTCTTGCGTTTGGTTCTTTTGGAATCAACCGGTTTTGAGAGGGAAGGGCAAAATTTCTTTCCAGAAGTGAGGGAATCTTGTGAGTTATCATTATGGCGTTTTTTTTTCAGACATTTTTTTTTCAGAAGCTGCAGTGAGTTCAGACTGATAGGATTGAATCATAGATTGGAAGGAATCAAAGTAGTCTGATTCAAGTTTGTAAGGATAATTGTCTTCAAGTTCGAGAAGGGTGTCAATGAGAAGTTGTTCCGTGATCAAGTTTCCGCCGTTATCAAGCCACTCATCGTCCTCTGCAGACAGTGTTTGTCCAAGATCTCGAAGGGATTCAAGCTGGTCTTTACGTGCCTGATAATCCTTTTTAAGTTTTTCAAGTCCTTTCTCCAATTGATGTAGTTCGTGCTCTTCGGAAGCAATGTGTGGTGGTAAAAGGGTTGGTTTGAGGTCTGAAGCTGCAAGGTATATGATATTTCCGATCCGTGTGGCATGAATAGGATTAGAGTTGTCAAAACTAAGGGCAACCACACCCAAAGAAGGTATTAAAGCGGGCATGATGCTGATTGAGTTGAGCAATGATAGAATGGACCCAAAAACAAACAGTTTGGCTTTCAGAGCCCCAAGATCCCGGGGCCGGCCCCGGGGCTCTATGCATTATTGCCACCAAGATCCGCTTTTTTTCTCTAAGGGCTATGCATTATTCAATTATGCAATAATTTCAAATATGGCCTGCACCGGCTTGGTGGAACCCACACCCTATGCAATTTGGCCAATTATGCATTTGCGCGGGTATGCATTTGCGCGGGTTTGACTGTAACTACTTAAGGAATGTAGTTCCCAGGCTGTTTTCGTACAAATGAAATTTAGATACACACCGCATACGTGTGACATTCTCTCACATACAGACACCCTTCCCAATTGATCTATGCCTATGCCGTCCCTTATATTTAGTACCTCTACTACATGACATGACAAATAAAAATAAAAAAAGTAAAGTTGATCAGATTCAGATCAAATCATTACACCTCACCAATACTCCTCACCAACCATACTAACTATCAATGCGCTTATCCGACATACTTGAGCAGTTATCCAACTTCCCGTCAGTAATGGCATCTGTTGATGCCGACGACGTGTTTCGATTTGTCACGGTCGCCAGTCACTTCGTAAATATCAATCAAGGATCCATACAAATTGATGAGAACAACGCGCCGTATGATTATCTCAACGCTGCACTACCTCAACCAGCAGTACCTGGCACATGGGAGGTTCTATGGAACGTGTTGTACCCAACACTCTCATCATCATACGTCGAACCGGCAGCCCTCATTTGAGACAAAGGCCTCAGTCGCCAAGCGGGCGCGCCGCTGATTCCAGAACGCATTTTCTGGCCACCGTACGAAGACGAATGTCCAAACGACACGTGCAGGGAATCTGGACGGCGAGTTCTGGAAAGAAGACCGGCACTAAGCGGCTATCTTTTCAACCTAGACAGGGTCCGGTCGATTCGTCACCATACAACATATTGCCGACGTGAGCAATTTTTACATATTATCGTCGCATCAAATCAACTTATTAAATCATTGAACATTTTTAGAATGTAAGACCAGTTATAGAGCCACGTACTTTTCGAAGAAGAAAGGACCTCGCACCTACTATTTGGACACGGTTCGAAAAGATGCAGACTGCATTCAGGTTAATATACATTATTTCATGACTATTCGACTCCTTGAGTATTTCAACCATACCCAATCCCTAGCTCAGTACGTGACAGTCGCAGATTGAAGAATACCGAAGTTGAAAGCTGACTCACCATGACGCTTTGTTATCGCTCATCAGTGTTTCCATATATAACTTGGTAACTATATACAACAGTAGCCACAAGCTTTCAGCCGAGGCCCCCAATCATTATTACGCGGAGTCATTCAAGCCAGCCCTATCAGACCACTGTTGCAATACGGCGTTGGATGTACATCGACTTCTACGCCAGTTCAATCTCCGCAATCGCATGATGATTGTCTCCAACACTGGAGGTTCTTGCCACAGGTTCCGAGAACCAAAAATGACTGTCATGACATGGACTGAACTCAAAGGCAGTCCTTACATCGATCATATGTGCTCAGAATGCACAGAAATAATCGACGACCCTAATGTGGAAGGCGGAGGTTTGGGTAAGCCATCGAGAAAACAATTAATAATAAATACTGACTCATTTCCTATACAAACAGCGATTCGTGCAATCGCCATGGATGGCATAACCATTGGACATCCACGATGTAGTGCTACAAAAGACCAACTCGTCTCACTCAACCCCTCGGATAACAACCCCCCACCGTGCACTGTCATGCTGGAAACACCCAAGGACCGCTACTGTCCAGTCCACACTCCGTTGCTTGGCAAACTTTGCCATGCACAGCCATGCACACGAGATGCCATAGGTAAAACTAAGGCCTGCGACTTACCCGAGCACCAAGAGGCCATACAAATACGATCCGAGAAGACACGCCGATCACTGGCTGCGCTCGCGTTCAATCAGAGGACGGGTGCCAAATTGCCAGAGGATCCGACTGCTGCACTGAATGCCGACACCGACGATTTCAACGTGGAAGCTTTGATCGAGGTAGATGAGACTGATCGGGCGCACGAAGCTGGACAAGACGGAGAAGAGGCCTCTCGACCAGCTGGCAAAAAACCTTTCTGCTCAAACGCGAAAACGCACAACAACATGCTGTTCGTTGCTACATGTGGTATAACGCTGGCTAGAGAGACAATGTATCGTGCGGAGTCCGTAATTTTGGTCAGAGTAAGTTCGCCAAAATACTCATTACACGAATATTCATTTAATCCATTGATCTCCCTTTGGCCAAACAGGAAATATTAGAAAGAAAATTCCCTGTCCTTCCACCTGTGCAATTCTTCGATAATTCATGCACTTTTGACAAATCTCTCAGAAAGGATCTAGCCGCGGCGGAACGGCTCCATGGGACAATAAGACCGGTGGACCCTTTTCATATGCGAACCCACTCAGAAAAAGATGCTCACTGTCGCACTTACAATGATCCAAAGCGATGGCCATTCCTCAAGAAGGCCGATGGAACTTGGCGATTTAATGGTTCAGCCGCCAAGATTACCAACGCATGGTATGGAGGATTTCTCTCAATATGTCGTGGAATGCATGAAATAAACTACAGATTTTTTTTGGAGGAGATGATACGGGTGAGAAATGAATCACTCCTCACAAAGCTTGTACGGAAAACCCATTTCTGCTGTAATATACCTTCACACCTTGCTCCCCAAAGTCCCTTTCCCCTCATCTAGTGTTATATCTTTGCCTCAATTATGTTTGTAGTCCTAATTAATAATGGAGCTTTGTTATATTTTCAAGTCTTTGATTTTGTAAACTCAAATTAAATAGAAATGCAATCGTTCTATTTGGAGTCATGTTCTGATAAAAAATTAATGGTAAGATGAGTCGCAAACCTCACGCGAAGCAATGAAAATACAAACCACTACCAAACCAACACTAACATGACATGTGAGGATTGAAGAGAGACAAACGGAAGCTGTGGATACAAGGAATATAACACATAACGAACGTGTAATCAATATTAAAAACTTTGAAGTTCACCTAATCAAATTGACATCAAGGGCTCCTACATCATATTGTAAATGATTCACAAAGTCAAAGGTACAAGTCCAATCTCTCGGCAAATTTGGTTACAGCCACCGGCATGCCCCCCCCTAAAATCAAAAAATGGCTGATCCATTCCGTCGCTGTTCTCCAAGTAGTACGATCTGTGCACAAATAATATGTTACATTTATTTGATGGAATGACGGTAAGGTAAAATTTGTAGTAAAGTAATATGACATACGATTTATTAAAGCACAAAACGTTAGATATTGTACCCCAATGATCACAGTCTATTTGACCGATAAGAGTAACACCCCCACTCTGTTGGTAAACGTAATGTAAAAAAGCAAATATCAGATCCTTCCAAGGATCTGAAAGCGGCATGGTGTCCCTGAAGAACGATGCATAAATGTATTGATGACTGCTGGCGTCGCGGGCGGTTTCACATAAGACCCATCGAGGAACATCATCGTCAAGTGACCCAATGGTTTGCATCAAATAAACACGAGGCACCTGAGGAAATCACGGAGCAAGCAGTCAGTTCTCCATGTATATATATACATATCCAAAGAAAGAAACATTAGAATTACATGTAATGCAGCTGCACTTAAAAACCAATCACAGAACTCCATAGCTAATACGCCATCTGGCAACTTTTGCTGCTGCCACAACTTGAGTAACCTATCTTTGAATAATTGAAGCATGCTTGACACGTACGAGTGAGCGTTGACAACTTCAACCGCCCTCTCTCTACCGGACCTAGCCATAGACAACCATGACATGTGAAACCTCGCTATACCTCGAAAAGGGAGGTCAACACCGTCACCTTGCAACTCCCGAACTTGCCATTCATTGATATCTCTTGTTTTTGATAAATCAACTTTGCGACCCATTTCGTAGATTACAACGGACTCCGAGAAACCAGAGCTGTTCTCCGGACAGTATGTCGGTTTGGAACCGTGCTCGTAGAAGCCATCCAGGCGGTAAAGAAATGCCGCTCTTTTGGATGGTAAGTCTATACGTAAGGACGAGACACGATTCGGAATGGTTACACATATAACACTCCCTGCATCACCATTCTCGACTTCAAACGTACGAACACATCGATAAACATCTATTCAAATAATATTACCAATGATATTTGAAGATGAGATCATTGTGTACCTTCAGACGGGGCGTGTCTCACAGCCGGGCGAGCTCTGAGTTTGTAGATTGCACGTGGATTTTGATTTGATTGACCTGCTTTGGTAGCTGCTCGTTCGGTTTCGTTAGAAGGTTTAACCGCGGGTTCAACAGAACCCTGGCCAGATAACGTTCCACGTGAAGAGCTTCTGGTCGTTGGGATTTCAACCAAAGAGCTGGTTGATGTCGATCTTGGTGATGTTATGGCAGAAGGGCTATCACCACTAGGAGTAACTTCAGATAGGGATAGGGTAACATCATCCGACTTGTCTACGTTGGTGCGTGATGGCATAATATATAATAATAAAATGATTATTGTTTGTAGTCAAACAAAGCAAGTGATGCAAAATAGTTTGTTTGACTTAATTTGAAAGAGGACTATACAACGAACTCGAAATGTTAGTTAGTCATTGATGAAGAAGCCATTCTTATATATTTAATATCGCCAATTGTGACACACAGAAAACTACCAGCAATTAAATCAATTACTGGAAGATAGCATCAACGCAAGCAATCGCGTGCGTTGATATAATATAATGTATATCTCAAAAAATGATTTGATTATTTATTGGTCATTAGGAAGCGTGAATTACTTATAAATAATTAACATTGATCAACTTAGCACGGAGTCAGGAGATATATACTACATTGAGGACCCCAACTAGATATCACTCCATGCCCTGTCACTGCCGATTATCTTCGATCAGTGCCGATCACCTTCGATCGCAGCCGATCATCTTCAATCACGAACATTATCTTCAATCATGAACATTGTCTTCAACCTACATAAATGTAGCAAGAGACCGGTTTCGCGCGAATTCGTCTTATCATATACTGAAGCCAATCTAAGTATATTATTGAAAGCAAGTTGTGATATTTACCATGCCTGTTGTAAAACATGTATCTAACATGATGTTGTAAGTGTATGATGGTTTAGACATTTAAAAAATACATGGGAAATATTCAACAGAGGCAAAGATTCAACATAGGTAAAACTGACAGTCAACTCGATTTTCTATGGGAAGGGAAGGCCATTTAATTATACCACACTAAACGACCAAATCTTGTTACTTTATATATGCAAGTAGCTCTGAACTGAGTAGGCTAATTGATGTATCTACGCATTCAACGTCTTTCGCTCGACGCCTTTCGCTTGCAAATGGAAGTTTTCAAGATACTTGCGCGTTTCGCACCTAGAAAAGGCAAAGACCAAATGTCAGATGATACATAAGTTATTAAACCAGCATCGTAATACTGACCAGATAACGACCAAGCGCGGCCTTTGGCAAAGCCCCTGTTGAAACAATGATAGCATGTATTACCTGCGTTGTGTTTATGCCTAGGAGCCGCTCCTTGGTCGCCATTGGCCGATTTGTTTGGGTTTACAACCAGGCCTAATGTCAAAGTCACATATATCCATCAATACAAACGTGAAACCAAAATAGTAAGTATGGATTTCATAAAATACTTACTACCTCCGACCCGTTCCACGTTGGAGGTACCTTCATGTTGATCCTCACTAGCTTTTCTGTCAATCTGTTCTAATATGGGACACATACTTAGTTGTGATCTTAACCTCAGATGGAGGCACATATTATCTACCTTCAACTTGGACCGAGGAGGAGGTGGGTTCAAGAAATTTGACACCACTTTGATCCGCACCAGCATAGTTGGTATCTAATATATTACAGCGTGATCAATTGCCATTGGAATAAGTGATTCGGTGAAGTCGTAAGTGACTTACCAGCTAAATGTTCGACAATTTCCACATTACCTTGACCTTCACTGGCGGACGAAGCTGCAGCTTTTTCAATGGCGTCCAATTTAGACACGTCTTCATCAGTCAAGATGAAAGATGTTACATCGTCATTGTCGTTTTCATCTAAAATATCAAACATGTCATGTGTGAGCGTTGTTAAAGTTTCACAAACTTGATAAGTTAGCGTATAGTATACCAGGCTCAAATTGAGAATTTGCGGTGGCCAGTGCTTCATCGGTCAGATTAAACATATCCATACTGTAAGAAATGCCATTAGTCGCGCGTCGCCAATGTTGGAACGCCATCGCGCCTATTTTGACTTTGCATGAGTTGTAACGGTGTCCGAACTTGCCACAAAGGAAACATTGATCCAAACCTGCCCTCACGCAAGGATGAGCACGGTCCGTGATAACCCAATTGAATACCTCCGACTGAGAGCGGAGATCGAGACTATTGAACCACGCTAAGTCTGCGGCGCTGGGAATCGGATTATTTCTGAACTCGCTAATGTTAGGAGCCATTATGAGTTTTCACAAAAGATAGTTAGACGTGGAGATTTAGACAGATGAAAAAACAAATCACTACAAATGATTAATGGATTGACTGTCCTACACATTAACTAAGGCGAGCTTATATAGTGTGACGCTCAACTCACCAACGTTGGTTACGCCAAATAAGTGTGATACGTTGTGAATCTTATTCATATCTCATGATATCCTAAGTTGAGAAAAAGGAAATAACATTACGTTCCTTTTGGATATGGTCTACATGCATAACCTATGTTGTTATTTGTTTAGGAAACAAATAAGAGGCTGTAGGTAAATATCTACCTACACCCAACACACTATACACAGAAGGAAAATCACAACAAAGGTTGGGTTCGACAAACTATAAAGGATAACATTTTAAACATTGATCGTGTGCATGCCGATCATTTGATAAATATGCTGAGTTCATTAACAATATCGATAATATCTGTAGGGTAGCAATACTTATACTACCCAATAAACAATGGCTACTATAAAGCGGAAAAACATTGGCACCTTGCTATCACATCTTAACGTTTCCAAGCAGTTCACAAATATCATTGCAAACGTGTTGCTCCGCAAACAATTTGAAGGCACATTCAACTATACCTGCCATTTCCGCATTATTTCGGCTGTGGTATGGCGGGCTACTGTGTTTGTATGATGTATTAGCTGTAGCTACCGCTTACGACATCCGTGCAGTGGAGTTCAAACTTACTTTCTAACATAGCAGGTCACGTTGCTAATTTTACCGTGATCGTCACAATCCAGGTTGGAAATTAAAGTTTGGTCTCCACTAAGGTCGTATGTATAGTGAATGAACGCGTGTATGAGTCGAGTCCAGGCATTATGTTCTTTTGGAGGTTTGTTGAAGTTAGTTTCGGTAACAAAGGAGTGGCTGTTATCGGTTGCGGCCTCAAATATCATCCACCGAGGTTCCCCCTCATAAGGAGTACCAGCTGACTGCAGGACGTAACATGGCTGAATCTATATGATAACAACAAAGTTATTATCATTAATACTGGCATATTAAAAAAACTCACCACCATTGAGCACGAATCCGTGTACCATTGTTGATACACCGGCTGAAGCGGGCCTGTATCATTTCTTCCTTTAATGAATAACGAGTGTTGAAAATGTTTCAATGCCATGGCAGAGTGTCGACTGCTTTCCGCGCGGGCAAAGCAGTGTGCCCTCCCTTGAGAGGCCAAATCGTGCCAAGAATGGTGGAATTTGATAAAGTAAAAACCGCGAATAAAACCACGTAGTTGCTTGTGATCGACATAGATCCTGCAAACACTCCAGCCTTTGGGAATCGACTCCATATTGACTAGTTGATAGCTCACGTATGTGATGTGGTCATTGTAGTATTCAACATCATCGTCTTGATTGTACGTCGCTTCATAATGCATATTTCGAAAACCCTTTGCCTTCAACCGGTAAAGGCATCCCTCTTCTTTACGGCCTAGATTTTCAATCAATTCGTAGTACGGGGTACCTAAAACTGTGTGTGGGCTTGATTGTTCGGGTGAAGATTTGTTATCTGGAAAGTTGGATCATCCGAGCATTTATGAGATTATAGCATCTTCAACAACAAGGTGATTATCACTTTACCTGCATGATTGGACATATTGTCCTCTGGCTGTCCAAACCATGTTGAATGGGTCTGATACCGCAGTGCGTCATCGATGAAATAGATGCGGGTGTTTCTTGGTGTTCTTCTACTTCATTCATATTGCTATCCAAATCAATGATCATTTGATGAGACATCAGTGTGAAGAAAGTTGAACAAGTTACAATATAAAGGAGCACTTTGTATCGCAATAGATGTGAATCAAATGATTAAATATATAATATGTTTGAGTTACTGAAGTAATGTAAGATTCCTTACCTTGTGCTGATCGTGTCAATTTGTCAGAATGACATCATCAAACGATGCCACGAGTAATTACGATGAGTCATATTCATTATATGCAAGGGCTTAAAGTTGGCGGAGCTGCCAATTGTGACGGTATGACCGTGGTTAATATAATAAGGATGCGTGTTATCATTCACTTACCAAGATAGTCAAAACCCACTTAATGGTGGGTACTTCGATTTTTTTGATCCAAGTTTGGTCCAACAATCAATACAAAAAATCTTTTTAAAATTACTTGAATGAGTGTGCAGAAATCATTATTACTATATATATCAAGGTGGTGTAAAATTAGATAGATTTGTAAGAAGTAGAGGAAAAACTATAAACAACTGTTTAAAAATACTTGAATGAGTGTGCTGAATTGAATAAATCTAACAAGGTAGTGTGAAATCAGGTGGATTTGTAAGGAGTAGAGGAAAAACTATAAACAACCGTTTGAATTTACTTGAATGAGTGTGCTGAATGGAATAAAACTATAACAAGGTAGTGTGAAATCTAAGAATAAGGAAACTGAAAGTATAGCAAAACTATAATCATTCAAGTTAAAGGTAAACCGTGTTCGGCGGCAAAACTTGATTAAACTGTCAATCCCTACTACAATTTCAGGGTTTACACGTCCTAACCATTGGATTTTACTCTCACGTGTTTCAGAATTCACCATCACCTACCATCAATACTTCACTTTCCTCATGATCATCAAGGACCCTTGGACCCACATACTTTGTCTTCTCAACTATGGCAGTTCTCGACTTGATAGTAGAGTTGCTACTCACCAGTGCGGCCATCAGTACCATCAACCTTCTTTCCAGCAATCCACAAAATCAACCAATCTTCAGTCCGGCAATTCATCAAATCATCCGATCCTCAGTCTTACAACAACCTCAAGCAGACCATCTTATGGTAATGCCTGATTTAATCCAAATAGACAGATGATTCACACAAGACGATACATGGTAATTAGAAGACGCTGCTGTATATATCAGGCTATTATCATTTTACTCGATATCATCAAGGTGCTAGAGAAAGCTGAAGGAGCTACAGATACCAATTGTGCCACTGAAAAACGCTTGATAATCAAAATCTATTGTGTACGTCTTGATCTTTGTCTCAATATAACCATGACTCCTCTGCAATCTTATTTTGATCGATCGTATCTCTCAGACTGATTGTATGTGTGATTGTCCCTTTTTGTTTGTGACCTGTCCCTTGACATATCATATGCATCTTAAAAGGCTTACACTACCTTACAAAACTACTACTTTCCCGAGTTCCAATGTACCATGAAGTTATCTCATTCAGCTGACCCTACAGCACATCCAAAACCATCCATCAAGATCTGTTTATAAGTCAAGTTCTTACCACCCGATATCACTCCTGGACAATGATACTCCCTTTTTCGACCTTTCGGACTGATCTACGGTGTCGCTTTAAATTATATACGCCCTGAGACCAAACCACCCGCCTTTTTGGTACGGCTCTGATCACATACAACAATAAAAACTAGGCTCCTTTGACTCAAATCAAGATGCATTGTAGGGATCTACTGAATCATACAATCGCAGTAGAATAGTACAATAATAAGAGGATCGGAATGGGCAAGCTACTGCTTTGATAAACATTTCACCTTCTGGTCTTGCATCTCAGTGGGCACAAGCCACTCCATTCATACCTGTCTCCAATTTCTTCTAAGTCCTTGGCTGATCAACTTCTAATTCCATCTTGATAGTGTCAGGTAAGTTGTACATTCTGTTGGAAACCAAGAGACAAGTAACATCAATGTTTATCGAGTAAATTCTCACTACTCGAGCTCAAGATCACTACTCCCGTTCTTCTAGGCACCATTGTCAATTTTACATCGGATCAAATACTGTGCGATCATGGTTTGCTGTTATCTCTTCTGATCATCACCAGACAGAATTGAGATGGAGAACAAGGTGAGAAGCTGTCACCTGGAAATATTATCACAATGACAGTCGTACTGATTGTTTTTCTTAGAATATATATATGTAGATTATTGTCCCCCTTTGAACCTGATCGATCAGTGAGGTTTAATCATGATGAGGTGATGTGCATTATAGAATTGAAATCTCCTTGTAACTAAATTGCTCACCGAAATTGGGATGTTTTAACAGTTTTACAAGCTCATTTGAATCATAACCTAAAAACGAGTTCATCTGATTATCCTTGATCTAATCCAAATCAAATAACATAATGGCACATGTTGATTCTGCTCAAGGATATTCAGATTTCACAATCATATTCAAATATCATCAGAAAAAGGTGTCAATCATTCTAGAACAACTGAATTTGATTGAATCATTTGATCACTACACTTTGAATTCAGAGATCTACCACGAACCACCTTTAATTGATTTTCAGTATCTTTGCTTCCACAAATTCAATGGTGACATCAAGTGTTGACCAAATCACCATCACATCCAATCAAGTTGTCTGATAAGTGAATCAACATGTAAATCAAGTGAAATGCATTCAATTACTGATAATACTTCCACTGTATTCAATACTCCCAGAGCACTATGCAAATTCCACGGTCCATTCAACATGTTCACTTATTCACAACTTATTGATCAAAGCCTCCTTGAAACTGATATATGAATTTATTAGGAAAAATTCTGGATCTGAAAAAAACTCAGCTGATTGCTACACCAGGGGAACAATATTGTTTTAATATCTTTGATTACAATTTCCCACTATGTTGGAGTAGTTTTGATTGCAATTAAATTCTGAGAAAAAACAATGAATCTGTTTGAAAACTCACTTTCTGAGTTCTTGATTCTCTCACATTGGGTGTTTTCTGAGTGGACACATTACCATTGTATATAGATAGATTTTGATGTTTTGGAGATACCTTGGGATCTGTCAGACTATGAAATCATTTTGCTCCTCAATTAATACACAGACTAAGTTGATCCTCTTTTCCACCTTGCTCTCTTATAATGACAAGAGTGTGTTTGTACAAACTCAAGATCAAAGCTCCAATTTTCTTTAGAGTTGCCATCAGGGGGTATATCCAAATGTTTCTTTTTGTCAAGATCACCTGAAATTGGATCTATCCTTCACCCTCAATCTTGGTCTCAAGTCATCAGCATCATGATTTTGAGTAAATAATCACAAGATTATCAAACTACATGTTTATTTGGTCTTGTGAATATTGAACAATCAATTGAACCACCAATCTTTTCCTCTGGAGCGCATAAATTTGAAGTTGTACATAAGTGGTACACAAATTTGAAAACCACATGAAAAACCCACATGAAACCGCATGGTTTTTTTGGCTTTCCCTGCAAAAACCAGAAAATCCATGCGGTTTTTTCATACAGTTTTCTCATGCAGTTTTCAATTTTGTGTACCACTATAGATGATTTTGTTGGTATTTTCCCCAAGTTTTTTTGCAAGTTTGAGTGATTACATGCTTACGTCTAGGAAAACTGCATCTTGGTGCCTTCTTTCTCCGGATTGACAGGTTGGTTTTGTGTCATTCTGAGCAGATTCATATCAATCAGTTTCCATCCTTGTGGATTTGTGTATAATTTATAGTTTCCTCCTTGAATCACAGGGCTATCAAGTGGAATGCTTCATCATAGGCAGATTGATTATCAGTCTTTGATAGAGAAAGGTACTTCTGTATGTGAAGACAGATTGAAAGCTCTTCCAGATCCTTCATCAGCTTGCAAGCAATCAGTTATAACACCTTATTGACAATGATATCAGTGCAACAGTTGAGAACATTGAAGTTGTACACTCTTTTTACAACACAATCATGTGAGGCAAATTCATTTTTAAGCTTGACTTTCTGAAAGAAAGATCAGAACACCAGATCAGAGCATATGTATTCTAGGAGTATATCAAACCTATCCTACTTCAAACTCTGGAAAAGGTAAATGTGTGTTCCAAATGGTTGGACTTCAAATAATGATTGATCTAGGATGAACAAGGTACCTTGACAATAAAACAAGATCAAACAGGCAATACAATATGTTATACTTAATCCATAAAAGAAAACTAAATGAATAATTGAAAATCAATCAATAATTATCAAACATAAGTTCAGATAAAACTGTTCCCAATGGTATTGGAATTAAATCTATCACTTTAAATCGGGGTCATCAATTGAAGTTTGAGTTGGAAATGGTTGGTTTAATACAATCAGAGAAACTTTAAAGGTTTGGGAAATTGGTTGGAAGGGATTATTTGATGTCATTAAACTTTTACCTTTAGAAAATAGTTTCATAATCAACATGAAAAGAGATGGTGTATTATTGAATCTTGGGAAGTTGGATTTGATGAGGAAAATTGAGGACTATGAAATTATGAGAAAAAGTTACAAAAAACAAAGACAGACTCTCCATGGTTATTGTTGATTTTGGATGTAAAATACTTTGACCCAATTGGTATGTACACAATATTGTGTTTCTTGTGAACCAGGTTTAGGGGTTTGCGTTAATCTGTTTCAAGTGTCTTCTGCTCTGTGTCAAAATTCTTGAGCTTAATGGTGAGCTATGATCATGTATTGGAGTGTTTTAGTAGGTCATAAGAAATTGAATGTGTGATGCATGTCCACTTAGAGATATTTGGAAGCTTGCATGGAATTATTCCAGGGTGGGTGGTGGATGCGATGTATGCCCACAAGAAAACAGTTTCCAATTGGTTATTCAATTGCATATGATTCAATGACGCGGCGCCCGCCGCCGATGAGGCTAGTACACTTGTTAAAAACTTATTGCAATACATGACAATATATATAAGCTGTGACCAAATATCGGAATTTGTTATAAGAAGTTGAACAATTATTGAACACAAAAGTTTAATAAATTGAAAAGAGAATAAGGAATCAAACACTTTCGTGAACTCATAAAACGAATGTTTCCAATTATATCAGTTACCACACTTCCGCCAATTCACCACTGAAAGAAAACTTGGCTGTTGCAAACGTAGGCGAAACCTGTTCCCGAGTGCACTTTGCAAACCATTCCTCCCATCTCGCCTCAGTTACGATGGTAATCCATCGTATATATCGATACATCGCAGTGCGATCCCACATATATGGAGGCGAAAAAAAACTCTCCCATACTTGCCTCTTCCCCTTGGTAGTCAAATGTTTTAAATGCCACTGAATCATAACCTGCATTGACATATCCGGTGGTGGCCACTGGATAAATTATGCGTCAAATGTTATATAATTTTGCAATCAGAAAATACAACAAATGAGACTCACTAAACCTGTTTTGCGAGTCCTCCTTTTACTCTTGACCCCAACGATATCTGGTTGGTCATCAAGCGGTTGTTGCGGTGGTCGGGGTTGACGAGGTGTTGAGCCTTGGAAAAATCCACTGTCTACTTGATCGCTGATAGTCTCACTGTTACCATCTAAATTGCCATTTTGAAAGCTATCAGTAGGTAAATTGTCAGTCAGATCAATAATTGGAGACAATGAATTGTCGTTCGCATGTTGGGTAGAATTGATTTCGGGATTGCTTTTGGGCTCGTTGAAGATGTTACGTGAAAATCTAGGTCCCCTGGGAGGGATCACGACTTGAGGCTCTTCGAAAGGATTTGGTTCGTCACCGGAAGAAGAGTTGGAAGAATATTGAGGCGAAATGCGCGGTGACTTGTCAACCCGGTCGGTGTGGCGTTTGCTTTTGTCTTTGAGGTCTTTGTTTTTCCCCAATTGGACCGGTGTAAATTCTGGCGTGGATGAATGTGGAGTACAGTTGTAAGACGATTCTGTTGATACTGACGATGATCGAGCCAAGTTACTTGCTGAAGGGCCGCGTTTGGTAGGTGTAGGTGTTCTAGCAGGTGTCGCTCGTAGCAATTCCAAAGTGTGTTTGAGCAACATACAAGTGGGAACGAGCCTTTCTTGCAATTCCTTCAGCCCACAGCACAGCTTCGGCTCCACTGACGTCATGCACACCAACGCTTCGCGAATAGGTGTCAACATGGGGATGGATGTCCCGACTAATGCTACATTCTACATATAAAGACATAGAGATTGAATTTGGTGGAGTTAGCCATATTGGATGTCTGCCAAACATATTTAATAACATACTTACCCATCTGTCCGCTTTCACGTCGTATACGCGCAGGCACTGATTCCAATGTGGCTCACTAGCCTTGATGAAAAGCATCAAAGGTTCGCATTCCGATATCGCAAAGTGCTTCATTGATTTAGAAGCAAACAAGAAAGGTATTGGATCACTGTCCGCCTGTATCGAAGTAATTGGATTTAACATAAGTCGACCGGTTGTTGTCTTCTTACTTTGGGTTAACTAAATCGCACAAGCACGTACTTTGAGCCATAGCGAAATTGATATGTTTTTGTCGCAACTTGCCTCAGCTGCCTCTTCGGCACGCTTTGCTTCTTCTTCATTGGAGCGATTGAGATGGTAAAGTCGCATGGTCGATCGTGACAAAGCCAAAGGATGCATCGGAGGTGGAGGTACTAGTAGCGACTGAGATTGAACATTCTCGGATTCTTGCATGTTTGATTCCATTGGTGATGCTAGGTTGCCGCTGCTTCCTGCTGCTTCTATGACACTTTTGAGAAAAGGTTGAGTATTGGGAACGACGGTGGCCTTCGCGCGCTCGGCAGTCTCATGAGTGTAACATGTTGTTCCTGTGGCGATACGCTGAGGACGGCAGCACTAATTACAAAAGTGTTTGCAAATAAAATCGATTTCTCAGTTTAGATATTCATATTTTCATATCAAGAGTAACACACGTACGTCAGGACACACTTGCCATGTACATTTGCGATTACCTGGCTTGCCTTTACCGACGTGGGTACTGACACCGTGGATTCCTGCGCAAGGTAAGCGTGATCGTTTCGGTTCAGTCATATTAGAGGGAAGGTGGTTGGCGTGTCTTTTGCTAATATGTGCTGTTGGACTGGATGAAACAGCGGCGGCAGGTACAATAGAGGCGGATAGGTTATTCAATGTGCATATATCTTGAAGGTACTCGAGTCGACTGTACGTCCGAAATGCTGCTTGGTTTGCTTTGTCAAGCGGACACTGGTATTAATCATTGCTCACTATCAGCATCTATTTATAATGGGTCTATAGATCATTGAAAATCGTACCTTAAGGCCTATTAACGGCTTGTTTGGTTGGTGACGAGGATTGTAGTAATGAGACGTGTGAGTAGGTCGATGTCTACAGCGCGGGCCGGCGCAATGAAATCCTGTTGGTTGATTGAGTGCGACTGTTAACACACGGTGGGGATGGATCCGACGAGCATAAAATAGTTTAGGATAATGTAATTGAGGAGTGGACATTGAAACAAACAGAAACCAGAGAGGAGGATGAAAATAGCTAACATCAGAAATATTATATATATATACGTATATATCTTGAAACATCTGGTTCGTGTTGTTTGTTCTAATTCATTGGATAGATCCCGGCTTTACCAGAGGTAGGTTCGTTCATTTGTTGATGCTTTTGGATCAAATGAGATCAAAACCCATGGGCAATTTATCACCGTCATGGTTTTTACTACTCAAACGGGGTTTGATAAGTTACTCGGTATTACCTTCTTGGATTGAGTGAGAGTGATCCGATGCAAAAAGGACGATATTAACAGGGAATGCCGCGAAGGTGCTGGTGATGCGAGGACTGGCTGTGGCCGCGGTCATGGTGCCTTGGCCGAATGGGTTTATTTAAATTTAGATGTCACTGAACTTGCATGTGTAAATTTAGCTATCTCACTGCGTCTACCGAATCCGGCTATGTTCTGACACATCGTGTATCAGATGTGTATGACACTTATTTAGGAATGTTCCTAAGTAGTTAAGGAACCTTTTTTTTGGGAACGTTCCCAAACTTCCGCGAGTCCGACCATGCCCTCGGCGTGAGCACTATGTACAAGGATTAAGTGTCCTTGCGCAGTTTTTCACATTTTTATGCTTCCCTCACAAGCCAACCTCACTTTACTGCGCAGGCAAAGTTGTTCAAAACAAATTTCTACATGATCTTGTAGCCTAACATGATAGGCACTCTGAATAATGCAGCCAAAAAAGTGGTGTGAAAATTTGTATAACAATTGTTGATTCAAAAATTGGGTAGGGTGTGAATACACCCCCTTTACAAATGGGACATAAGGCTCAAAAATGTGCCTCAAGAACAGCATTATAGAGTGGTTTTCCCCATGTAGAAAATGATGATGAACAACTTTCCCTGTAGGGTAAAGTGATGTTTGTCAGTGAGGGAAGCCAAAAAACAACAAAAACTCCTTAAGGACACTTGGCCCTTGTGGTACTCACACCAGGAATCCATGATTAGTCATAAGCCCCTCTGCAAGGGCACGGACACGGCTGCACAGAGAGTGCTTTGTTAAGCTAAGGCATTGTTGAAGATTCAAGCTCTACATAGGTTTCCTCACAGTCAGAGAATCCGGAGCTTCATGAAATCTGTGTGTCCCATTGTATGGTGAGTTCTGAGCATTGCACAGCACCACAAGTCAGTGTACATCTGACTGACTGCCTGACAGGTCAAGTCACCCCCCTATCTATTGGGCTGTGAGAAAACAGTGTGAGAGACACAGTGTTATCAAGGACAGCACTGCCCAGCACTAGCCTTGGTGAACACAATATCAGCATGTAGTGTTCTACAATATTGCTTGCAATGCTTCAAAAGTTTCAAAATCAAGCAAATAAATTGAACTTAGGAGAATATCAAACATTGCCCTTGACACAGATGGAGCAAGCATGACCCCTTCATACAACCCTTGGTATAACAACAATCAGTCTTTGTGACCTCCTACAAAACAGAGTGATGAGAATCTCATCACAACTTTTGCAAGAAGATACTGTAAGAGTGAACCTGTTGGGTTTTAGCAACCATCAGTTTGCATTAAGAGAAATACACTGTCCAAGCTAGCCATAATTGGGCCAATGTCTTATTCCTTTTGTGAAGAAACTCATCAAAGAACTATGGGACACGGTAGAGCTCAAGCTCCACTGGGCACCAGGCCAGGATGTGAAGGCATCACACTGAGCAAGATGATAGATAAAACAGCTGGGTATGCCTTCAAGAATTGAGCACACCCTAAAGTATCTGGAAATATTCATCAGCTTCGGTGAGAATCAATATGTAGATGATGAATGGATGACTATGACTGGGTATGCATACGGGGCTTCTACAAGTGCATCCGTAAAAGATACGTCACATTTACTCTGCCGGCCCCGACTAATGTGTTGTATCTTTTCCGGATGCACATGTACAGTATAGATGTGGCCATTGCTGAGATTGTCATTACAGAAAGGCATGTAAGGACCAATTTTGTGCAGTCAACTCTTGATATAAGCAAGCCCTTTGTATGGATATTGCCAGTGATGCAAGGGATTGTGTGCAACAAGTGTCCTGCTAAAACAAAATTGCTTGAATCATAATGGTTAGAGCATGAGATTGACAAGAACCAGCCCTGAATATACCTTTATGTTGAGAATTTTCCCATGTAGTTAAGCATATTTCCCAGGAGAGAGAGAATATGCTTTTGTGGGGATTTTTGGTGTAATAAGGCCAACTGATGAGCAGTACCACTGTGTTCTGATGGGACGGGACATGACCCCAATCAGCAAGATTACCTCTCATATCTGTTCATCTGCAGTTAATTCTCACCTGATGTATGATTCAAGATAAAAAGGTAGCCAAAGTTGAATTATGCTTACTTCACAATTATTCATTGCTGAATGTTAGCACATCATATTTCTCCACAGTTGACATGCTTATATCAAGATATTGCATATAACAAACGGGGTACAATGTACTGGCCACCTGTCACTGTGTTAGAGGTGTGGCAAGCTCACCACTCTCAACCCCCATATGTGAAGCTCTTGAATTCCATGAATCTACTTTTACTCTTCTCACAATTCAGATTTTACTTAAGTAATCCAGATGAGGATTACTACACTATGATGAGAAGCAAATGAGGAGTGAATGTTTCAAACAGTACTGGAGAATTCATGTTGATGCCAAGAGACTTTCCCCAGGGGTGTCTGATTTAAAATTTTAGTGAAAACATCCACAGGCAGCTAAATTTGAGCCAAGCGTCAAAAACTGAGCACAGCTCTTCCCCAGAAATACCTGTTATTCAAACTCTGGCCTTGACTCCAAGAACTTGAGAGCTTTGGTGACAATTCACTGGCAAGGCAAGGCAAGATTGGATTGGTGATGTGAGCTCCAAGATACATTCTTCACTCAGATCTACAACTCATTACCATTCTTCCTACCTACTTATACAAAGAGTTGACTAACCCTTAACAAGAGATGAGGTCAGTGATTATTGATGTAAAAGGTTCTGATGATGTTTTTTGCTATGAAAAACAAGGCTTGATTGCTTTTCCCATGGAAGTGCAAAGTGACCCTGCCAAGATGAAAGACGTATTTACCTAGGCAATCATTCTCACTCATCACGTGTATAATTAAACTTTGAGTACAATTCTTGTGATGCACGCGGGTTTTGAATTGATGGCGCCCCCATAGCGTACAAGAGTAATCCAAAGAATTGGAGCCTGCGCGAAGCGCGGATATGGAAAGTGCGGAATTTATACAGACCTATACAGGCTGCTCTCAACGAGCATTGTCCGATTTGGGAAGCTAGCCTTTGCACATGTTACTACATCATCTGACAAGGCGAATAGGTGAATCAACATGATTGAAAGAGGCAGGGCATGAGGAGAAACAAGGCCTACCAACTCCCCACTAGTCAATCATCAATAAATTCTTAAAAACGTTGATTGAAACTCACCTTTTTGAATTATGAATTATTACATATCAACATCTTGGCATGATTGAGCGATTTGATTTGCTACTCCATGCTCTGTGAATGTCCTTCATATTCATCCCACTTTGTCAATCACATCTGGTAAGGGAAACAGGATCAAGCTCACCAATAAATTAGTGTTATATCTTCAACATTTGGGTCAAAGTCAAACACTGGTAGGATGTGAGATCGATGTTGAAAGACGCAAAAATTTGTTCCTTATCGACCAACTCATTTTTTAAAATAGAACGTTTCGCACTTAAGATTTCGACTCCATATGATCTACAACACCATGATCAACTTCTTGCTCCTTTTAGAGTTTGTATTATTACTCTTAGTAAACTTGAACAATATCAAGTCAGTGTTTTTCTTTGGAAAACAATGTTCTTTTCTTTAATTAAAATCACTAGTTCTACTTGAGTAGTATAACTGAAAGATTGTGTTTATTCTGTGATAAATTCTCAAAGAACATCCTCTGTCATTTTTTTAATTCCAAATCTGATCTTTATGACTCCTGGGTCCTTACTTGTACCCATCGATCTTATCTACTCGGATCCGGATCCATACCAAAAATTGTAATACATATCTTATTGTATCACTTGCTTCCTGATAGCACTATATATATGATCTAGCTCGTTGTTCGGATGCCGATGATTGGTGAACAGCTGGTGAGCCGTGCTGGAAATCCGTTCTCGTTTTTTGAGAAGTACGCCTTGACATCTTTTGCTTGATAATGATATGTGTGTTTAAAACAGCCACATTGGCTGCTTTCGGATTCTGAAACAATTGTGCTCTATACAGGGCTTCCAGAGTAGCCCTGTATCTACACTGTATTTTCCGCGGTTTCTGCACTTTCCGCACTTTCCACCTTGCCTCCGGTAGACTACAGGATCCGGGGGCCCCCTGAGAATTCTCTGAGAATCCGAGAATTTGAGAATGACCCGCCATAAGCCATGAGTGTATGGGCTGTATGGGCTTATACGCCCCTCGTTCCACTTTTGGACATACCGACATACCGTATGGCTTTTGGCCACGTACTCTGCTTCACACGTGTGCTACACACGTGTGATTCCTTGCTCACAAAATCACGTCTGTGACAAATCAACCAACCCGCCCTCCGATGTGATCACCTCACCTCAACTTCACCGATCGATTGCACCTACCTCACCAAAACGACATCGCTCACTCCCATTTGCACTATGCTACTCATCGACTTTATAGGTCAGATGTCGGAAACCAGTCCTCATCTAATCGCCACCCTCACAGTCACTGATTTCGTACAGTTCTTCACCTTGGCGTCCGAGGTCAACCATGTTGCTGGACAAGCCATCAGTCTAACAGCCCACCGACCCACGGTGCTACCCTTCCTCACAACAGCCCTTTCCACCCAGGTTCCTGAGCACCTCATGAATGATTTATGGACTCTAGTCTTTCCGTTGTTACCTTTGGCACCGTTCGATCCAAAAAGCGCCATACGCACGTTTGGCCTCCAGTTCAAGCTCCCTGAAAAATTTATACGACCACCGGTATCCCAATGTCTTGTTTGCCCAGCTTCACGCAACCTACACGTTCATACCCGCCTGAACGGGTACCTTTTCGACACCGATGGTGTGCACCCAGTTCAGACAGTCATACTCGATTGCCCAGGTGAGGCTACTAAAGTGTTCGATTGTTATTGGAAAAATTGTAACTTAATGACTCAATCAATAGGATGTGGAGCAACGTATCGGCCTAGTTACTACACAACCGCTAAAACTCGACACTATTATACTTTGAACCAGGGACGTGACGTCAACATACTCCATGTCCATTGTCACTATTACCTCACAAATCGTTTGGGCCACCTTTTCCGCGTTATACAAATGCTAGCTCAGTAAGTGCACGGTTCCAATGTCTCTGTATTGATTCTTATCACCTTTTGATCGATTATTCACTCTTATGGCTCTGCGCACACTTTGCTGATACTGATATTCTCTCCTCATAATGTTCTATTTCTATCAATTACGTCTATCAATTACGCTTGAACCTAGCATCTCGCACTTCAACCTTACGAACTGGTACAACGAAATATACGTTGAAGATTCTCGTGTACCTCAGTTCGACTCAGCACAGACGTGTACGCCGACTATGTCAGAACGTGTGTGTCTAGACGGTCTTGAACTCTGTGACCTGCTGGCCCACGAAGATTGCAGGGGAAACCAAGTGCTACTTCCTGCGACAGGAACGGACGACCTTCGTTTCGACGACGCTATCCGCTCCCATCTGGAGCGGCTGGACGTTGAAGGCACCAGCTTCCGCGATCACTATTGCAGCAGCTGTGTGCGCGTAAAATCGGGTGGGGTGGATCCCGAGACGGGCAAAGAAGTGTTTTACGGTACATAACATTCATATTTCTTTGGATGCAGCACCGTGTCTGTACTATCTAACAAACTAACATCCAATGCCTTTCAGGAATTCGCGCGGTGGTGACCAATGGGTTGACCATCGGACACTGGCGTTGCAGTGCATCCTCAGAGCAACTTGAGGAAATCACTAGAGAATCCGGACAACCACGGCCTGAAGGACCTTGCACCAATCCCTTGGAGAAAATCAACGACCGATTCTGTGCTTTGCATCACTCGCTGTTGGGGAACCGCTGTCATGTACAACCTTGCCAAAGAAACGCTATCCCCGAATCAAAAACGTGTGACCTGAATGCCCACATAGAGGCGTGGGCTAGGTTCACAGAACGTGTCAAAACCAATTTCTCACTCACTGCCATCCTTAATCGACCTGGGAGCAATCTTCCATCTGATCCGACCGTGCACATGGACGCCGAAACAGGAGAGATCAATGATATCAAGGCCTTACGGGAAGCTGACGAGTCCAACCGTGCCCACGAGGGCGCCCGTGATGGTGGTGAATTGCAAGCTCATACCAAACTGGTGGTATCAAGGTGCCGTACACACAACGATCAACTTGTAGTGGGCTGTTGTGGTATAATCTTGGCAAGAAAGACATTCTACCACTCTGAATCTGTGAGTGCCGTCAAGGTGAGTTGAATAAACACTATACACCGCTTCTTCTGTTTGTTATTGTTGTTATTGAAACAGTTTTGACGTGGTATCAGTGTTTTTTGGAAGAGACTTTTCCTCAAGGCATCCCGGAAGTAGTTTTTTACGACAACGCTTGTCGCCTCACGGAACACATCTACCACGGTAATGGCGACACAACCAGATTCCAAGGCAAAGTCATACCAGTCGACCCTTTCCACCACCGGTCTCATGCGGAAAGTGACGAATTTTGTAAACTTTTCACGGACCCAAAGCTGTTCCCAGATATACAAGAAAATGGTAAGTGGGTGTTCAATGCATCAGCTGCAGAACTCACCAATATTTGGTACGGTGGGTTCGCTTCTATGTGCCGCAGCATGCATTCCCTTAGGTACAACTTCTTTTTGGAACAGATGGTGCATTTAAGGAATGTTTGGCTTTCAAAAAAATTGAGCAAGCGCAAAAACATGGAATTCATGGGTAACGGTTTTTTTTAGAGTGTGTAGTGTGTGAGTGTGTGGTTGGGCAAGGGCTGTTTGTTATGGTTTTTGTTGGTGATCATCGGGATTTCATACTTATTTTAAGAACTAAAATAATTAGTTTGTAGCTTTGACATTACATACACGAATACACGAAGCTTTTCGATTTTTTGCTTTTAAGTTGATTAGTCTTGATTTTTGTAAGAAACAAACACGCAACTCATCTGAAAAAACTCCGGGGTATGTTCAAAGAAATGAATGTTTTCTTTGATTCCCTTTTCAATCATGGGGCCAAGACCAAGACTGGTCACAAAACAAGAGCATGTTATGATCCCATTGCAGCACTTGATTGAAACGAACGTAATGTGAGAAGGTACAACGATGACATTGATCAAAAATCATCGAATCACACGCGATTAGACAAGACAACCTTAGACCACGACGAAACCATGACTGAGAACCTGAAGAAATATAATGATTCACCAAAACAACTCAAAATAACGTGAGAAAAATGGCGTTATAATGGCAGTAGACAATCAAAACACGCACTTGAACAATGAGTTCATTAGACTCCGGGTGTTTGGACGTTACCAACCCTTCGAAGCGCATCACGGTGTTCACTTGGATGTTGTCCATCTCGGACAACTCAGGAGAAAAGTGTCCAAAGCAATAAGTTATTGCGAAATGTAAAGTGGTTCTCTTCTAAAGAGAAGTAGTCAGTATCAGGTTTTGAAAGAGTCGGTTGAGTAGCTTACTTCCGGGTCAAATATTTCATGTTCTGCTTGAACAGTAAGGTGCCATTCACCTTCTTCACTGACATTATCCCAAGCAACTTGAATAACCTTGCCGGTTGAAGAGATCCAGGCTTTCCCCGCTATATGGGCTTCTTGAGGCTTGACGGTGGCCACCAAACTCTGCGTGATGTAGCTGTGTTTGATGAAGGCTCCGCTATCGGGATCTACACCTACCGGACCATGGATGTGGTACGTGTAATCTCGTGTGAGCACGTCGTCCGCCATGAGCAGGCCATAGGCTGTGAGGTTGCAGACCAAGGGTTGGCCTCGTTGATCTTTCAAGATCAACTCGGTTTCGGTCTGGTGCCAGGCAGCACCACCGTCGGGCAAGCGGAGGCGCAAAAACATGGCCTAGGAAGCGTTCGTAATAGTAATAGGTCAGAACTTCCTGTATATCGTGGTAGTATTCAGGATAAAGAGATTGGATACAAAGTTTGCCGTACATCGCTGGTCGCGGTAATAATCGCTGAGATCTTCGCAGTAAGTGGGGTCATGCTGTTGTCTGCAACGGATGCTGATGGTGGTCGAGCCTTGGGGGGCATTGGGTGGGTGATATCTTTATATCATCCGCCTTTTTTCAATCATAGCTTCCAGCGTCTCTAGCTGGAAGGAATGACTGTATCTCTTGGGTCGGAAACCTCCCAAAGAGAGTGTACATCTGGCAGCAGGGTTAGGGCAATTGAGAAGGGTCCACCCATCGGTCGGTATTGTTTCCAATCAAGAACGTTCGACAATGTTGCGTAGCGTATGCAATTGGGAAAGGGTCTCTAAAAACGGGGTTTTCACGTCAATCATGCAAAACCAAGGAAAGTGTTGTTATCGTGATTTCACAACTACAACTTGTTTCAGCAACTTGTCTAGATCTAGACTAACGGTTAAGGCATTGAAGATCAAAGCCTTTTCAAAAATGAAATACATAATTCATGAAATGAAATCCCTTTGTTTTTCTATTCTTTCGTTGAAGCGTCCCTCCCGTTTACGATAGCTTGAAACTCCTTCTTATACATCACTCGGGCTTCATCCACAGTGGCACGGGGATACTTGCGGTAATGACCGTAAAAACGGTCGTAATCGACCTTGGTGATCCACGCCCTGTACCTATACACAGTCGAAACCGCCAAACCCCATTCCTCGCCCCACACGTCCTTCCATGCCTGTAGTGGTGGTCGAGTCTCACATTGCTTGTACCACGCAAGCAGCGTGGAAACAAGCACCATGGCTGGCTTCCCAGGCCACTTTCGCTTCAATTCTCTCGAAGTAGAAGTACAAGTCGAAGTAGTCGTGCCTGATACCTAAGATCATAATGATATACGATTACATACTTATGTCAACTCTTATGTCAACCGGACAGAAACACGAGCGTTTGTCATTTACTCACAGTGTCGCGGTCACCTTCACCTTCACCTTCCAGAACAAGAGGTGATTCATCGGTAGGGTCGAATATAGGTAGGTCTTCAGAGGTCTCGCGTTTGACTGAGCGGGCCCCTGCCGTAGTGACAAAGTTGCTCTTCACCACCTCGATTTCGTCGGAATCGTCGGAATTTTCGGGGTCTGCTGTGCTGGCCCGTTTATTAGCATCGGCACGATCTGTCAAATATGATCTCACCACCGTCACTTCATCATCGGAATCTGATTCAGGAGGAGGGCTGGTTCTTGCAGGACGCGAAGGAGAGCGGCCTCGTACTAAGGTGTCTTTTGGTTGGGAGGTTTCCGGCGAGTTGGCGAGCGCAGGGGTGGGAATTAATTTGCGGGCCTTGGGTTGTGGCAAGCCGGGGGACCCAGGATCCACGTGTGGCGACCGTACTACGACAACTTTCACATCTTTGGGGTACCTGTGAGGGAATGTCACCATCGTCTCATGCTGACAGCAACAGAAAAATAATCAGCTATGGAAATGCCATTGCGTTGTACAAGAAATACTGAGCAAAGTCCTTACCCATGAGTCGATCTTGTCGTCCCAGAAACACAGCGCTCGATTCCAAGTAGGTCCCAGGCTCTGCGTGCAAGCTTGCATGAGCAGTGTTGATTCTTCGAGCTTGGCCTTCGGCCATTGGTCAAAATGCGCAGAAATGACCTTGGGTTGGTCTCCCTGCTTGTGTTGAGGCGGTTAGTGGTGAAAGACAGTTGAGGCGGTTAGTGGTGAAAGACAGAGTAGTTAATTTGAATGGTAACCCACATTGAGCCATAGTAGGATTGTGACTACTTTGGCCTCATCATACTTGTTGGCTATCTGACGTTCGGCAGTTTCATATCGCTCGCGGCGGTCGTTATGGATGTTCATCACCGTTCGCAAACCCAGGATGTGTCCAAGTGATCCAGGTGATTGGGCCCATTGATGAATGCGGCCACCGGGCCGTGGTCGTGCGACGTCAGGGGTTGGTTGAGTACATGTAGTAGCTGCAGAGGAGGTGCTGGTGCTTGCGCTCGCGGGTACCACCACCAGTTGAGAAGGCAGACGTGCTGGAGGCGGTTGATCATGGAGGTTGTGGACGCGCCGTTGGCCAGCGGGTCGAGTATGCTTTGAACAAGGGCCCAAACCATATTGAATGCAACACTAAAAACAAGTTATATGCGAAATCAAGGTTAATGCCTCTGCAAGAAGTGCGTGATTGGGATCAGGTGGAAATGCGAGAAACTTGCCGATTGACAGTACTGGTGAGGACATCCCTTGTTGCCAGTCGTACGATGATTACGTGCGACGGGCCCTCGGGAGGGTCGCTGACAAGGGTACTTCACACCCTCACGTACGGGGCCTGCAAGAGACTCGAGCTGAGGTGTTTCGAGTTGGGGGACGGGTTGAGGTCGACCTAAGAAAGGGTGGGCTTTGGCCTCTATCGGGTTGAGCAGTTCAGCAAGCTGATTGGTTGCCCGGCGGGTCTTTGCTCGTGTGGTTGTCACAGTTGGTTTGGGTCCAAGAACGACACCAAAAGGTGATATCCTTGGGCCCCAGTCTTTTTCGGATGAAATGATGGGAAGGGGGGCTCCTGCGTTGATCAGAGCGCGTTCGTGGTTGAATTGATCACACCGCCACGTTCGCCAGTTATGTTCATTCCTGGGACGTTGTGGACACTAAATGAACAAATTGAAAATCCAGTAAGAGGACGATAAATATACTATCAGTACTTATTAATACGGTTCGAAATGATGGGTTACGACTTCTTACATAGATTGTCCAAGAGTCCTCTCTGGCGGCAAAGTAACGGAGAGCCGTCGAACATTCAGGGCAAAGTATGCCAACTAGGCCACCTTTATGCGGCTCGGGCAAGTAACCTGGGTTGATGAACCGGTAATGCTCGTGGACAAGAGTAGCGACAACCATGATTGAAAATGTGATCGAAATGGTGATCGAAACGGTGAATGTTTATGGCAGGCGCTTCCACATTGTCGCCAGGGGTTTGGGATCATTGTACTGAATGTCTTTGTTGAGTGAAAATTTTCGTGATGTCCCTTTTGGGCGTGGTGAAACAGTATGGAATTGAAGATGGAAAGAGGTATGAGGAGAACTGGAGGGCCAGGTGTGGAGGTGTGACAGGCCGGGAATATGGTAGAACTAACATAAGGTAGGGTTTTGGACTTTTGTCAATATGCTATTGGATATGCTAATACAGAGGGCCTGTATTCTCAAATTCTCTCGAAATTCTCAGTCTCATATTCTCAGCAACCAAACCCGGATCCTGACGTGCTCCCCTTGCCTCGGGGAGGCTCCGATGCTCTCGAGAGATAAGCCAATTAAATACGCGAAGTTCCAGAAAAAAAGGCGCAAAGAAGAAAAGCTAAAACAAAAGTTAAAATGGGGACCACATTGTAATAGGGAATTGTATTTTGGCACAAGACATTGGGACCCGACCGTCAACTCACAGGACTGAGATTATAGATGTTGAAGACTGCTAAAAAAATAACGTAGGATGGTCTCAAGGGGTCTGACTCAAAAGTACAGAAGAAACCAGCAAGGCCGGTCACTAAACTAACAATTAGACGCACTCCGCGCACTCCTCTTTAGTGGTAAAAGGGAAAATCTCACATTGTGGATTAACGGAACGAGTTCAGATCTGAAAGGCTCAAATTATATGCCATCCATCAATGAAGATGTACAATGAGCTTCCAACACAACCCGATTCATGACCATAAAAAACAGGGCAATTGACAAACCTACTACTCAAATCTTTCCTTTAATGTACCCTTTGATCTTTCAATCTTTCAATCACTTTCTCTCTCTCTCTCTCTCCCGGTCTCTCTAATCTTGAAGTCTCTCTAGTAAGAAAAAAAATCGGCCAAAGAGAAAATGAAAATAATCTTTGATTTTATGAATCCCATAAACCAAAGTATAAAAATGGGTTGATAAAAGAAATATATGTAGATATATATATATATATATGTACTAAATAAAAAAAACGGAAGAAAAAAAAGAAAAGGAAAAAGATAATTCAAAAATTCAAAAATTGGGAAGTAAAAAAAAAGAAAATCTCTATTTCTTTCCATTTTATTGTTTAAGTCTATGGACAGAAGAGAGAGAAGAAGAAAAACATACACACGCATACACAAAAGAAGAAAGAAAAAGTTTTTACACACCGAAAGCGAAAAGAAAAAAAAACATGTAAATGTAAAAGAGAAACACACATAAGATCATAAAGACAAACACACACACACACACACATACCCATAAATAATCCAAACATTCCAAAATAAAAGAAAATTGAAGATAAATGATAAAAGAAAATAAGAAAAATAACTATATGATGAACGACTACTTCACAATCAGAAAAGAAACTGAGATGATCCTCCTCCTGAGACGAAGAAGGAAAAAAATCTAAACAATCCAGAAAAAAAAGCCAAATCACACCATAATGCTTGAATGAAAGAAAAAAAGAAGAAAGAAACTACTTATCCTCAAAATTTATTGAGAACAGGGCGAGAGAGATATGTAGATAGAGGAGATAGAAGAAAAAAATGCTACCCAGATTTAGAATTTGAACAAAACCAAAAAAAATGAATAAATGATAACCTAGAGAGAGAGAGAGAGGAGATTTGACTATTTTCTTTTCTCGAGAAAATAAAAAAATGTAGAATAAAAAGAAGAGATAAAGGAAATCCAAAGTTTGAACAAAAGTTCCTTCCATTCGATTGATTCAATTTTTAAGCTCCAGCTGTCTTTGGTCTAGGTGATTTAGAACGTGCTGTAGGACTACGAGAGACACCCAATGCATGATGTCCAGATACATGTGCTCTAATGTTAGGTAAACGATGATGTTGTTGAAGATGATTAGGAGATGGTGTAGGAGATGGAATGATTTGATTTGGATCTGGACTCTGTCCACGTAATGATAAACCTTCAGCCGATGCTCTACGTCTCAAGGGATTTGAATCAGGTGTATTTTGAGGTGAATTTGGTAGATGTCGTGAATGGGGTTGATGTCTTTGTGTCTCATTATTATGATTTTGAGCTTGTCGTTTTGTTGCAGATTCTGTTGGTTTTGATGGCGCTGAACTGTCTTCATCTGGATCAGATGCTGAATCATAATCAACCTCCGAGTCGGACTCTTCTTCCAATGCTGCTTTGTCTCCTGATGATCAAAGTGTAACAACGATCAGTAATTTGTGCGAGTGATGGGAGAGTCAAGAGCTGAAAGACAGACTTGGTAGTTTTGTATGCTCCATCAAAACATCTGCACCAGTGGCCGAATAGCTGTTCAAAGGAATCCATGTCAGGCGCAGGGGTAGTGGACATACTACAAGAACTACTCACAGCATGGAATTGCGACTCATACGCTTGTTTTTAATGGACGTATCAGTAGCCAATGGAAGTGAGGGCTGCTCAGTAGTTCCTGGAAGGCGTATAGGTGCTCGGTTATCGCCCTCGATATTAAAGACTCTAAAGATGACGACAATCAAAAATACTTTTTTAACAATCTCACAAAATCATTAGTAAAGGTCAACGGATGGACTCACAAGTCAAATTCCTTTAAGAGTAAAGCAAACAGTGGTGCAGGCATGCCCAAAGTAGGACTAAAGACGATTCCTACATTACGCATACTCATCTTGTTGACCTTTTCATTTTGAACGATATGGATCAAGTGCGCAGATAGAAATCGAAGCAAGGTGTAGTTCGGTAAGGGTAACTCAGCGCACAGACGACCAAGTTCGTTTACTTTGTCACTTCTTTGGGTTAGATCTAAAAGTATTGGAAGACAATATGAGATCTCATGAGTAAAAGTCTGTAGCACAAAAGACCTAAAGCAGAAAATCAAACTCACCAATAACTTTAAGGAATTCAGGATGAAGGTCTCTAGTGAGAATTGGAGAAACCAACTCTCTCAAGAATTGTTTCAATAATCCTGCTACAGCATGTACATCATGGAACTCAGTCTTGGAAGATTCGAGTAAATTGTAATCTCCTTCAGTATTGAAGCGCTCTTTGAATGCCTTGATGTGAACTGAGCTACCACTAAGCCTGTAAATGCCTTCTTCCTCAATCGCTCCCTTCGCCTCTAAGAATTCAACACACCGGAATACTACAGCAGGAAGATCCAATCCCTCATGAACACGAGCCACAGAAACAGCTTCTTGTAAGGAAACACCAAACACGGGGCGAGGTGCTGGTGCGAATAGAGTACCCTGATTGGATCCGACAGAATTATGCAGCTCTCGTGAATCTTTTCGATCTAAATTTCATGAGATCGTTGCAAGGGATAAAAGATGATCAGCACGTCTAAATCAGGACCAAGATGTTACTGTTTTTGGTGAGCAAGAGCTTACCAGTCACACCATTCCTACCAGTGAAGCCCCAAAATGCAGACCGGAACTTGGCCTTTTTCTCTTCGGGTGGTTTGATGCGATAACCACCGGTGATCGGAGCACCATTCATAGGTCCGGAGATTTTAGGACGTTGTTGAGATTCAGGGGTAGGGGGTCTTTCAGCTGAAGTGACAATTGAATCGGCATCAGAAGCGGCTTGCTCCTGCTGTGGAGAAGAATGTGAGTGAGATTGATTGAGTCGGGGATTCAATACTGGTCGAGGCGTTGTAGGTCCAGGAGGATTCGATGGATGGTGATAAGTGGAATGACGCGAATCTAAAGTAGGGGGTCGATGTCTATCTTTGGAATCCACATTAGCATTCATAGAACGATGACCATCGTAAGAATCATTCTTTGATGTCTGTTCGACGCTAGGAATAGATACATCAGCGGTCAAGGCGTGCTCTTCGATAACTGCAGGAGCTGGGCCACGACCAATCACCCCATCAGATGCCGAAGACATATGACCCATAGACTCGACTTTTGAATGAGAATTTGTTCGACGGCCTCGGGCGTCCGGACGATGATCAGTTGAAGAAGACGAGTGATGATGTGAATTATGTGGATGTGATGATTCAGCTCTAACGGTGGTATCCAAAGATGTTTGTCTCTTAGAAGAGCCAGTATCGGTCTGGTGTACATTACCCGAACTATCTCCTCGGGGAATGTCGTTCATATGCGTGGATGTGGAAGGAGCAGTGGGTTGATCGGCAGAGATGTAGCGTCCGGTTACATAGCATGTCAAGGCCTCTACCCATGCATCACGTTCTTCATCACTTTCTGCACACAAGATGTGATCAATTTCGCCTTCCTTCTCTCGTTTATGCATCCGTATCAGGAACGCATGACGATATGAGTCGTCAGTAGTTTCTTGTGATCTTTGCTGCTGACGACCAATTTGAGCTCCGGTAATGACGATATGACCTAAGCGATTACCACCACGCTGTGTGAAGGACAATCACAAGAACCTATTAGACAGCATACTAGATTTGGGACAATAAGATAAGTACAACGCACCGTGTCAAAGTATTCCAAGATAGGACCTTCCAAGACATAAAACCTAGTCTGCCATCCACCAAAGTTCCTACCCTTCTTCGTAAGATAGCCTTGCATGAAGCCTGGACGGGTCGATGTCGAATTTCGCTCACTAACAACGATATTTGAGTTGAAGAACTCGCATACATCGCTCTTTTCAGTTAGCTGAGCAGCACAGAGGCTTTGAAGATACTTCTGTAGCACAGCCTATTGAAAGATAAAGAGATGAGAAAGAGCAGGAGGGAATTGAGTTGAGATCTGGTTGGCAAAAAACTAGTCAGATCCGGCGGGATAACTTACCTTACGGGCATCGACCTTACTGGGTGCGTGATCCTTGAAAAGAGCTCGATCGGGGAGTTGAGCCAAACTACGGTTCTGGACTTTAGAATGTTTCGACTTGACTATATGGTCAAGGGAGAGGACATCCGAATAAAGTTTCTCTACGACCCAACTTGCTTTCGCACCTTTACCTTCAGGATCACTTGTAGGTGGGATGACTACACTGATGGCGATTGAAAATGAGATGACTTCCTTGCTTTTGTCATTTGCCCTTATATGTGAATTGGCTACTTTGATATGCGTGAATGGCAAAAAGGTTGGTGTCAGCATTCTCCGTTTGGTCATAGGTTGAGCAGCATAGACAGTTTCAGTGGGTGGGGCCGACGTTCCACCAAGGTTGGGTATTGATGCTTGTTGGGGTAGAAGCGGACTAGTCGGGGTTTTCGTGGGCCGATGCGAATATGGTGGTGCAGCGGAGTGTGCCACGCCAGACGATGGACCAAAGCCTTGATTGGATGAATCAAATTCGGGATGAATGGCTTTTGAGTGGACCAAGGGTTGATCTGATGATGAGGATGCGTACTGGTGAGAATCTTGTAGGGCCTGAGAAGACAACAAGGTAGAGGTTGGGAATGAGGCTGAAGAGATATGTGATGGCATAGGAGTCGCTTCGGCAAACGTGGGTGGCTCGGTGGGAGCGATCGGGTCGCAAGATGACGAATGAGTTGGGGTAAGCGGGCTGATTGGTAATTGGTTGCCAAGCATGTATCTAAACACGAGCAATAGAGAGGGAATGGAAATGGAAATGGAAATCAAGACTGGTGGTCAATGAAGAGGATCTGAAGAGCAGGAGAATGAGTGAGTGTACGTACTCTCTCACTTCGGGAGGAATAACACTATGGATGGTAGAGGGAGAATTGAGGGCGGGCGAATCTGGGTTGTAGTGACACTGCCCCGGGTGATTGTTCAGGCTGCCAACCGAGGAAGATGTATCAGATCGGTGAACTTTCCCAGGCTGTTCTTTAGCGTGGGTGACCAAAGTAGTCGGTGTAGAAACCGAGGCAGTTGAAATTGAAAGGTGAGGGAAATGAGCTTGTGGGGAAAGCTTTCGACCCATATCAACAGAAGAAGCTCGACGTCTGATTATAGATGGCACCGTGGTGGTATGATCTTGAACGATAACAGGTGATCCAGAATCGGGAACTGTTTGACTTGGAAAAGATGTGAAACGGTTTGGGGCAGGTCTGGTTTGATTAGACTGATTGGGTGTGGAATCTTCTGGTGTTGAAGTTGAGTTTGATAGAGAGTTAATAGGCAAGTTTGGATCTGATAGATTCGAAGAAGAAGTCTTGAGAGGACTGTGAGGTGGATCGATTGCAAGCTCAGAAGAAGACTGTTTAGATGGCCTACGAGGAGATAATGGAAGGATGGCTTTGACTCGGTTTCCATTGAGATCAGCTTCACGTCGAGAATGATTAGACTTTTGACGATCTGGAGTTGCTCGGGTGTCAGGTTCATTACTAGAGTTGAGATGAGCTTGAGGAGTGACCCGACCAGAAGGTTGACCAGAGACTATACTAAGACGATATTCGAGATCGGCCAACTTGTGTTTTAATTCTTTATTTTCGGCCTTTAAATCTTTAACTTCTGATTTTGATTTCGTCACCAATGCCCAAACTTGTCTGTTTTCATCTAGAGCTTTATTACGCGATCTAAAGAGTTCTTGTTGTTCGTTTAAGGTGATGGATGATTCGTATTGTGATAGACGAGTTTGAGAGATAGATAGTTGAGTTGTGATTCGATTGAATTCTGAGATGAGAGCTGATAATGCTGAGTTTGGTTGATTAGCATGTTGAGCTAGTATAGATTGAAGTGTGATGAGAGGTGGATTTGGATTTGGATTTGCATTCTGAGTTTGACTTTGGTTTAGACTTTGGTTTTGGTTTTGGTTTTGATTTCGATGTTGATTTTGATTTTGATGGTTGTTGTTGTTGTTGTTGTTGTTGTTGTTGTTGTTGTTATGATTGAGATGATGATGATGATGAGATTGAATTGGATTTGAGTTACTAATCATAGCATTTGACATTTTGATGATTTGAGTTTTACCAGTTGATGATGATGATCGTTTGAAGTGTTTGCTGTGAGTAGAGTGAGTTTTGTTTGACCATCAAGCTGAGTCAGAGTGGTTCGATTTGATTGGATTTGATTAGATTTGCTTGAGAAGTTGTAAAAGTCAAAAGTGAAAGTGAAAGTGTGTGAGTGTGTGTGCACCAGAGTGAGAGTGTCAGTGAATCAGAGGTGAGGTGTTGATTGAAAATTCCAAATTTCTGTCTGTACAATCGATTTACCGAAAATCATTTTACCCGTCCTGTATGTCACTTTAACTATACACTCCACATCATCCTTCACTTGATCACACTCATCTGGATTGAAAATTCGGAACTTCTCTTTTCCTTTTCCTTCAAAGATTCCTTTACGGTTTGAGTCCGTCAAATCGCTACATACATATTATGTACTCGGCATCTTTGTGGAGGCAATCTGACATCGGCTCCTTTACTCAAGAAATTGGCTCCGCTTTCTACACCTTCTCTCCAGCATTCTCGCCCTATCTATTCTCGGCAATCTTCCTTTGAACAACTTCTTTTCAATCTTGATGGAAATTTCGTATGTAGAATCTATGTACTTATTTGGATCTCAAGTTGTAAAGTAGAGAAAGGAATTTCAGATACAAAATATGTAAGTTCAGTACATACCAGTTATTATTCAACTTTGGTTTCCTTAACTCCGAAGAGAGAAAAACAAAAGATGAAGAAAGCTTTCAAACAAGGTTTATATACTTATGAGGATGGTAGCCCGAAGCTTCGCTCGCATTCATCACCAATTCACTTGGAGTTTGCGGGCAAAATTATGTAAGTAAGCTAGTTAAAGCTTTGTCAACATCTTATGCATATACGGTCGATTCTCAAAAGGTTGACCGAGGTTTATTTACCCGTAAAGCAAAAGGCTCAAGTGATTTGGATTGAAACTCTCATCAAGCTTTGTGAGATTGACTTTACTTTTTAACTTTGGTTATCATTGTTTGGGTATGAATCTTCTTTTTACCTTGGCACATTGAACTTTGAAATTGTAAAATCATTTCCCGTTTTCAAGCTTAAAGAGCTAAATTTTATTCTTCTATTTAGATGCATACATACAAATAGAAGAGTGGTGCCAGTGGGTAAATCCTACAATTCCATCTCCTTGAACGTTTTTAAACAGTCTTTTGATTTCATATTTGGATCTCTTGGCCTATCACTCGTCGTTTCGCATCCTAGTAAACAAGTTTCAATAACTCTTTTACACATATGGTTTCTTTCTTCCCTATTTGATCCGAATGTTTGAATTTCTTTTGATTCTAGGCTGGAACTTACATATATGTCTCTTAATACCATCATCAACTTTTTTGATTTCTTTCAACTTCTTTCACCGGACTAGGCAAGCTTTCAGTTATCAATTGCTTTTCAACGTCTTTTCTAAAGAGCTTTAGACCCGATTATGAGCTTGATTTTATACTTCAAAGTGGTTCTTCTTCCTTCGTCTGATCATTTTTTCCGCATCGAAGTCCTTCATCTTTTGAATTTCATCGATTGAAGATTGTATATGTGTTATTGTAGTATCGGCTTCTCTTTGTATCTTTTGATACAAACTTCAAATAGCTTTACACTTGATTTCCTATCTTGATAATCACTTTTTGTTTGGTATCATTTTTCTTTTGTAAATGTGAATATGAACCAGGTGAAAGATTTCCCATCCATAATTTCTAATATCATCGTTTATCTTCTCTTTGCCATTCTTGATGATTTCTCTCTCACTTCTATTTTGGGGTCTATCTCATTGAATTAATTTTTCTCGATCTCAAACTCATAGCTACAAGGAAGGATATCTCAATTTGAAAACCCCTGATAAATGGTAAACTAGAGTGATATTACATGCTTTGACATGATTTGAGTCATTGAGCCTGGCTGGTACATATTATTATTACGTTAGAGAGCATGAGGGATAGTATTACAGTATGTGGAAACAATGAGAGGGATATAGGCCACTTGATGGTCTTGCTGACTCAGATGACTTGAGCGTCACCAATGGCCTTGCCACACATTTTGACATAAAAACTTTGGGAAGCTGATATATTTGAGTTTTGGCAAGGCTGTCTCTCCAGGTGTCAAAGTTTTCAGATTGTACCCGTGGAGGCGCAAGCATTTGAGGTTGAGATGAACGTCAAGAAGATCAGAAAGCGCTTGGGTATCATAACCACCGTCTAGTTGATAATCGTGTCTTTCTTCAATACCAAGTACATTTTGAAACCTTTGATGTACTTCACGGCTTCCACAAGTGGATGAGGTCGGTGGCATGTCTAACCTATCTGGGTAGTGGAGTAGCGGGTTGCAATTTTTCTTGGCTGTGACCCTCATCAAGTTTTATATATATCAAGCTTTTGGTGAGAACAATAAGTTGAAACCAAGAAAGGAAAATCATTGCTCGCTTCAAAAGTACAAGAATGTAAGCAGTTACTGAGTCCAAATGCATCATTTTTGCAATATTTCTGCATTTTACTCAGTAACTGCATTAAATGTGATCAGTTCTCCAACGGGAAGATGGATCTTTGTTCCCTGTGTGAATTGGATCGTGATAGGAAAGAAAATCAGTTTGCACTTCATGGTCTTTTGACTTTAAACATGTCATATATCAATGCACATGATGGTTTCATACAAAATCAAACATATTTTTTATAAAAATAATCTTCATCGGAAACAAAATTGATATTCTTTTTACATTGAGATATTGAAGTATATAGATGGAAATTTTGCAAGAAAGAGAAAATCAACAAAAAAAATTGGATTGGCGATTTTTTACATCAAGAGAAGATATGATCATGTCAGTATCTTTGAATAAGGTTTGAGTCAATAAATAAATCAAATTAGAAGTGGAATATTCGGTTTAGATAAATAAGATGATTTGAGATTATGAAGAAGAAGAAAAAAATGTGCGCAGGAAAAAAAAGAGTAAGGTTTAAGAAAAGAAAAGTTTATCGTTTTTTAAAACTTGACCAAACTCCCACTTCTCCACTAAAAAGTTCTTCTAAAAATTCTTTTGTTAAACTAGGTTGATGATTTCCTTCAATTAATTCAAATCTTAAATTAGCTCCGATTTCATTATGATTCGAAGGGATTTGAGAAGTTTGATCAGATTCGTAATCGTTGATTAAGTTTTGATTGATGTGACGTATTGATCGAGAAGAAGTAGGCGATGAGAGTGAAGTTAAAGAGTCGGGATCAATCGGCATTGACGATAAGTCGAAGGGTGTACCTATTTGATAATCAATTACAGGAACGGATGGAGATGGATGTGACTTGGTAGGAGAATCGGCACAACCAGATCTATCAGAAGTGTTATTATTCATTGACATTGAAGAACATCCTGATGGGGCATTCGAGAAGATGGGTTGTGAAAGATCTGGACATTCAATTGGAGTAGTAGTGAACGGTTTTGCTTGATGAAGAAGTGAAAGTCGACCACTAGCTGGCTCGTGAAAAGTACCAGAGGCGGTGAGCCCAACAACTGTGCCATACAAACAAACTCAATCCTTTATACACTTCAAATGTTACCACTTTTTTGAAATAGGATATGACTTACGATGCGGAACAAGTGCTTCATGACGAATCCTCGAAAGTCGTAAAACGTCGCTACTTTTCTCGACCAATTTATTCATTAAACTATTATCACAAGTACTGACTTCTGCACCACCAGTTGTAGAAAGATCCACATCTGTTTCATAACTCGCTCTACTATTCAATGTAGAAACGAGCCAACTAACACCACGCCAACGTGGTTGCATATTACGCAGAGCAGTTGCGCAGATATCGAAATTTCTCAGGTCTGATGGAGTGATTGATACATTCAAAGATGAATCGTTCTCTAGAGATCCATTTGGATCATGCGATAATTTGTTTGGTATACTCGCGCATGCTGCGATCATGATCGGCTGACTCGCAAAAGGCACGCTCAAGAAGATGTCAGGATCGAAAAGGTTTCCAAAGGCGAGCTGTTGGTAAGCTGAAGGATCAGTTCACAATTTTTAAAAGAATAGTCATATGATCATCGTAACAGGTTGCTTAAATAGATTCTCTTACCATATCGCTAATGGTTCGAACACTGCCTCGACTCCATTCAAGCATCATTGGGTCCACCGGTCCGACATCCAGACAACTCCACGCGGGACCGACATTGGCAGTGTGAGTGATGATAACCAAGGTATGAAACCATAGATGAGTAAGTAGGAAGGCTTGACCGTGTTTTGCATTGATATATCTGCGTGCGTTATCAACCGTGAAATGTAAGATCGGTGGCAAACTAGCATGGAATTCGTGTAGTTCAAGCTGTTTGTATCAAGCATCAAGGAGAATCAGTGGAATTGACATTGCTCGAACAAAGAAAAAATGTTGTAACTGGAGTAATCACCCTAAATGTTTGTAATACTTCTGCGTGGCTTTCTCTTGTGGATCTATCTTTTAATTTACTTCGATTGAAAGCATCAGAGATTTTTCCCAATAGTATCAAGATTCGAGTTAAATAATGGAATGGGGCTAAGAGTGGTTCATCTGATATTATTTTAGAATTTTCTGGAATAGCTATAGTTGGTGGTAAATCAATTTCTACTTCTGAATCCAAAAAAGTTGCTACTCGTCCTGTACCAGAAGAAATCAATCTATCAAGATGGTAACAGCTCCAAAAGATACTTTCTCTCATTCTTAATTCTGATTCATCCCATGTAACTGTTTTACGGTCATATGAAGTTGATAATCCACTTGTCGTAGATTTATAGAGTCCAAGATCAATAGCCATTCGAAAGGCCAATCCACTCCACATCCAAAGTCCTGAATCTTTATCTCTGGAAAATTCAAGATAAGCTAATAAAAGTAAAGTATAAGTAGTATCTAGACTTGGTAGAGATAAATGTGGGATTACTAATGATTTGGCTCTTTGTGACCAAAGCTCTGTATAGTCTAAGATGGTAGATGAGGGTTGAATACATTCTGCTAAAGCAGAAATAGCTAATTTCAAAGCTTCACTAATCTTTCCTTGATATAAACTGATCAATAAATCCTCTTTGTTGATATAAGAGATAAATGATCCCATGTGATCATAGAATACTTCCACATGTTTACAGAAGTCTTGTTGTGAGATGGTAGTTGGGTCTGAGAGACTCATACTATTGGAGAGACGCGATTTTGAGTTTGATGAGATTGGTGCTAGATTTGTATTGACCATTCGATCAAATCCAGACATGTTTTCATTTGCTTGGTGACTAACTAACTTCATGCTGATTTCTCTAAAGGGCGCACCGGGCGCAATAGCTGTTGGTCCCAAAAATCGAAAGTATGGAATTCTACTCTCAGAAAACAAACGAGTCATATGAGAAAATTGAGCAACACTAGAGGATGAGGATAGGTTTCATAAATTAAACATACGAACCTCGTAGGGGGCGAGGACTGGGTTGAGATATCATCTTCAGATGAACAACGAGGTGAGCTAGTGAAGTTGAGATGAGTGTCTAACGAGTTTTGATGCAAAGTGAGCGGATTTCGAGCGGTCGATTGTTCACTGTCATGTCGAGTAGAATCAGACGTAGGGTTTAATGGAGAGGAAAGAAGAGGCGGGAAGCAATTTCTTCTTGAATCGGGAGAAATTGTGTGGGGTTGGAATGTTGCGCTAGGTGGTCGATCCGGCTTGAGATTCTGATGTTCAACTACGCGGGCCTTTCTCTTACGTTTTGTTTTTGCTTGATCGAAAACTGTTTTGGATAGAGCGGGTGATTTTAATGAGGCATTACAATCACAATTAAGTGAATATTCTAAAAACGTACTACATTCCCGGTTTGAAGAGACGCATGAAGCACATGGTGATTTGCCGTTACAACGCACCTTACGAGAGCTGCAGAACAAAGAAGAACAAGGCAATCCGTCAAGCCATCCGGTAGAATCAGAGACGTCAGACGAGGAATAAAAGACAGAAACATGATTGACGAATTCAGTAGGTACTAGGTGCTACCAACGGCTATGCTAGAAAAGTCAAACATCGTTAAAGGGAAGGAATTCGCACCGACAAGTCAAGCATGCTAGGCTTATCCTAGCAGAAGTGTCACTTTTTGAATGAAGATTAACATTCGGATTGAAGTTGGTATTCTGAAGATCCTTGTTAATGTTGGACGTTGAGGTCGAGGGTGTAGACCAACAACGTTCGACAGAAATATTGTTAGATGCCATTAGGATGTACTACAAATAGCACGGAAGAAGGCACACAAAAATGAGCACAGCTATATAAAATTGGGAGTTTTAAATGGAGTAACCAAGCAGTGGAAATATCATAAGTAACCCTGTGCCCAAATTAACAATCAAGAAGATCGTCGAGAGTGGCCCGTGGGTAAGCTTTTGGGCTAAGTAATCAAACCCCAAGCAGGGAAGTAGGGCAATCAGTCGAGAAGGAAATCAAATTCTTGTTGATATAGATGATATAGAAAGTCTTGAACCTGAATGGGAATCAAGTATGTGTAGGTGAAGAAATCGAGTGGACGCAGAAGGATTGGGAAGATGAGAACTCAGGCTCGATCAAATGCGCGGTAGGCTTTTGTTGATTTCAACCAATCGAACTTAATTTCTTGCTGAACTTGGGGAAATCAAGAGTCTATATATGCCTCTCGGGATTGGTCCGGAAGTTCTATAGGATGATGATAAGAAAGTATTGAATCTGGAATCTAATGTATGGTGTGATGAGCACTTACTGACCAAAATGCTGATGTTGAGAAATTGATTGTATGTATCCCGCTTGATGGATGGTCTTTGGAAGACTAGATTGTAGTGAAGAAAGACAAAGTAGAAAGTGAGAAGTGAAGCAATCAAACCCACTTCAAGATGAGAGTGATATTACTAATACAATTTCAAATCAACATTTCAGAATGAAGAAGACCTTCAAGTTGATTAACCAATCAGGTCAAGTGATGAGGTGCAGACTGGCAGTGGAAAAAGAAAGGAAATCTTTTGAAAACTCTAAAAACTTAAACTTCAATCTCAATCTCAATCCAACTTCAACTTCAACAAGATGAGCTTTTTAATTTTAGTTCAATCACTTCGTAGTTTCATGAATCTAATAAGTATGTATGAAGATGGTGTAGTCATACTCATCAAAGACAAAGCGGACCCAGTCTTCCTTGAACAAAATCAAACTGCAATTTCACTGTTCGTGTTTTCAAACAAGAAACTTTGATGCATACAAGATCTCATGATAATTTTATTGTAAATCATCAATTGAATACAGAACTCTCGTCCCACTGCGCTATATATCAAGCTTCTACTATGCAATTCACTTTTGCCACACCAAGCACCTCAAAATCCAGATAGATCACTTTCAATAAAGACTTCCTTCTCCAGCTTTCAATTTCAAAGTTGAATTCATTTTAACAGCGAGAGAAGCATTACTACGCTTCCCATATGCGGCGCTAAAAGTGATTCTGACTTGAGCTTAGGAGTCAGGGCTCAATTCAAGTCTTCTCAACCATAGTTTCAAAGTCTCCGGGGGTTTGATTGCGGGGTGCCGGCCGTATTGTGAAATATGTTCGTGATGAACTCCTTCATAGCTGATCAGAGGCATTCTGCGAATTCACCTTAACAGACACCCTGCTTAATGATAGCAGGGGTGAAACATGTTCTTGTTCATGATGAAGCACAGTTACATAAGAAAGGCATGCGTCAAGCTGATCACACTCCGAGGAAAGGAAAACCGGATCGTATCTCCACCAAATATACCCGGCCCAGCGCCGAGATCTTATGGTTCCTCTGGCCCTTCGTTGTCGCAGTGATTCATCTCATAAGATACCATAACTCAAACAGTTATCAACTTTGAAACTCGACTCAATCTCACCATCGCGTGACAATGTCGAACAAGTCAAAAAGGCAACCTTAAACAAATGAGCTTTCCATCTACATGTTTCGCGGCCTTTCGCCATGGTTTACAGTGCGGATTTCTTGACTGCGCATGTAGGATTTGTCACAAAGACAAACCGAGCGCACATTTTTGACGTTGAATCCATAACAAAATTGAAACGTGGCTTTTATGGTCAACACGACATCCCATCCGACACTCTCGTACATCTATCTACTTGTGAAACAACCTTTTTATATTTTTTGTGGACCTCGAACGTTTGACCGTAGGTACCCCATTATGAGACATCGAGACATACTCGCATCCTATTTTCTTGAGTGATCCCCATCGCAGAAAATAGGTGGTAATCCTGACCTTTGCAGTCTTGGCGGTGGTATCTAGCATTTACCGTGGAGGCATAAAACTGTAGACGAAATTTCAGTCAATCGCTGTTGGCAAAGGTTTCAGAGCTACGTAGGGTACGCACCCAGGGGGACCAGGAAACTGTTGACCAGAGGGGAATCCGGGTGGTGGTCCTTGTCCTTGAGCACCAAACCCAGGTGGAGGGCCGCCCATATATCCACCAGGCCCTGGATTGAAACCTGCAGACATTATGAACGAGATGAGTATAGTTCAAGAGTTTCAAATGAACTAAACTTACCAGGAGGTGGCATACCGAGCCCAGGAGGAGCTCCAGGAGGTCCACCGGGGCGGGAAAAGGGCATGGGCTGCCCTCGCATCATAGGTGGAGGCACTCCGGCTGTAGTAGAGGAAATCAATACGAGTCTCCAACGTGAATGAAGTATGTATGCTCACATGGAGGAGCCAAACCGACACCACGTCCTGCAGGAAGACCTGTACCACGTCCAGGAGCCAGCTATCGAAGGATTCGAAACGACCGTCAAGGACTATCAAGCTCAAAATGTGCTACTCTTTGGAATGCCTTGCTTACCATGGGACCTTTTTCGTCTGCAACCGCTGGAGGTGGACCTTCCACACTTAAACTGACAATAGTTTCACCACGTAAGATGACGAGTCCCAAAGCTCTCTTCATCTCCAATTCTTCGCTTTCGTCAGGTGTCGGTCCGGTGGAGAGACCTTTACGTTTCTTTTGTTTGATGAATCGAAACTCTTCACAATCAGCTAAAACTAAATTCAAGTGACGATCGAAGGCAAGCATCTGTCCGGTCAGAGTTCGAGAATCGTTCAACGTCACTCGTAACCGATAGTTGATAAGTGCCAACATCTTGCTTTGCTTGGGAGCCTGTTAGATGGACTCATGACATCAGACACGGATATTTGTTCGTTCATCTTGAAGAAAAGAGTTTGATTACGTACCATGTTGAACCGAATGAATCTGTGGCGTTGGCCTCAGAATTTGAAAGATCGAAGCGCGTTTGTAGATGAGTTCTTGATCAGTTTGACTTTCACTTGTTCCCATGAGCCTTGTATCGGTATGCGCCCTCCTCAGATAAGCATATTACAGTCACTAGTGTAACAGTAGCTGTGCTGCGTACCCAGTGCTGTGGTCGAGCCAAATTTAAAAAATATCAAAAAACTTCCTTCAGACTGTTGACGATTTTGAAAAACAATCCAAGTCAACTTCTCATTCAGATTTGATCATCACTTCAACATTCAACATGGGAGCTCAAAAAAGACGATCATCTAACGCTCAAACTGAAGCTTCTGTCACTCCAAAACCTGATCAAACCAACACTGAATCGAAAAAGAAGAAAAGCAAGTCAAATGCTGAGTCGAAGAAAGTAGATCAGCAAGATGATGAAGTACCAAAGCAATCTTTAATCGAACCAACCCCTCAAGACGCTGGATCTGCTTCAAAGTCAAAGCCACGTCAACGAAAGAATTCCAAACCTTCGAAACCCAATTCCTCTCTGGATGAAACCCCTTCAAAGGCTAATGACAAGAAATCTAAAGAGTCCCCAAAGGTGACTAAAGAAGATCAAGATTCTCAGAAAAAAGTTTCGAAGGAGGAAGCCGTACAACCGAAAAACAAAGAGAAATCCAATTCGTCCTCGAAAAAGCAATCTGAATCTTCTCGACCCGAAAAATTACCATCAACTGCTAAATCATCTAATGAAAAAGTTACCACAGAAGTTAGCTTCAGACCTACCTACGAGTCACCTATAATTAAACCCGAACAGCTCACTTTAGCGATCAAGACCTTGATTGAGTATTCCAATAAGACTATGAAGCGAAATCTCGATGATGGAAAAATGTTTGCGGATGATGTTGGATCGAATGATCAATTTATAAGTCTTGTCATCACATTGAAGCGAATTCCCAATAAGGATAAACATAAACCTATCAGAATGTCAGTTTCATTCTCACCAGATGTATTTGGCATCGCAGTTTATTGACTACTCTTTTGCGCTGCGATGTTGATCATTCTAATAGTGCACTAGACCATCCGCTACTTGATCCGAAATCCACTCCAGTATGCCTTATCGTCAAAGATCCTCAAAGTGAATATAAAGCTTTGCTAGAAGAGAGGAAGATCACATTCATTTCCAAAGTAGTGTAAGTCACCTTGATATTCTGAATCACTTCCCCAAGAAACTAGCCATCTCGTGTGATCTGAGTATTAAAGGAATCTCTTTCGAACAGTGGTGTCGAAAAACTGAAAGGAAAACACGCCTCATTCGAAGCTCGACGCCAGCTTATGAACTCTCACGGTTTATTTCTGGCTGATGCACGAGTGATTCCGATGCTACCGAAGCTCTTGGGGAGCAAGTTCTTTCAAACTAAGAAGCTTCCAGTCCCTGTCAACATCACCGAACCGAATAAGGTCAAGGCAGAACTGGAGCGAGGAATTTCTAGCACCTATTTACGATTGAGTACAGGAACTTGTGTTTCGATCAAGATTGCCGATTTAAGTCGACATAACGAAACTGAAGTGAAAGAAAATCTTCAAAAGGTCATTGATCAAGTTGGTAAACGAATTCCATTAGGTGGATGGACAAATGTTCAAGGTCTTCATCTCAAGACAGGTACTAGTACTAGTCTACCAGTTTGGTTAGCTGCATTAACTACAGATCAATTTGGTCGATTTGGATTAGATCCATCTCAAGATGAAGTGGAAACGAAGAAAGGTGCAGAAGAAAAGAAAAGGCAAGCAGTCGATGAGAAGAGTCAAAGAAAGAAACGAAGGTTATCGACGATTTCGACTGAAACAGCTGTTTCTGAATGATTGAGTGGATACTCAACGCATCGATCAATCTAAAACAATAGCGCGATGAGATTGATGCTGGAGTTTAACTTCAACTTCATTTGTAAATGGTGGACATCTTAAGTTGAAGCTCATACCTTAGAACTTTTATATGAATAGTCGATGCAATTGGATATCATGTTTAAGCGATGATCGTGTTTCTCTACTTTGTTTTTGCAATCTTCATTGGATCATGAACGTAAAAGTAAATATATATCATGACTTGAAGATGATGTCTACCAATGACCGAAAGACTTGCTTCGATTTTCCAACGTTCCTCTCCTGCGAGATACCTTCTGATGAGTATTTACGAACAGCTTGATAAGAATCAGGCCTTGAAGTCTACGTCATGATCATTGGAGTTATGGTTTATGGTTGATTTGATCATTGTGAGATCGGAAAAGTCCCGCTTTTGGAGAAACAGAGTTGAACATCTGAGTCCTTCAGAAAATGTGTTGCCCATATTGTATTTTGATTTGACATGGTTTTGAATGAATTTTGTTTTTGTAGAACAACGATGACGCAAAACCAGTTTTTGGTTCAAACATTAGGTTTGAACTCAAGGATGGATTTTCCAATTGGTACGAGCTCGGATGTTATCTAGGTGATTGCAATGCTTGAGAATAACAAACTTTGAATAGAAAGAAGAGTTTTTTGGGGTCAAGAATATTGATGGAAGACTTCTGGAGTTCAAATCATCTACAAAGTGTTTGTGAATTCAGGATAGGAAGGGGAGAAAGTATGGTATGACTTAGGGCCCGTTCGGCTGGGTTCCAAATATCGTATTTGGCCAAATACCCCACCAAAGCCAAATACGATATTTGGGTCAAATACGTATTTGGGTTTGGCCAAATACACCGGTGTTCGGAAACCGTATTTGATCAAAGCCCAAATACGGTATTTGGTCAAATACCGATCCGATCTGAAAAACAGCCTCAAGGGTGTTTTTCAGATCCAAATATCGTATTTGCCCCTCAATCAACTTCCATCTCCGTCATGAAACACCCACCCTTTCGTTTCCTTCACCCACCCTTTTATTTCCTTCACTCTTCTTTTCTATCCCGTTTCATTGATCACAACTCTCTCCATCTCTCTTCTATCTCTTACATTGCCAGTCTCCAATGAGGACCTTCGTCAGGGTCTTCTTCTACCATCTATCCCATCTTATCGTCTTCTTTTCAAGACATTCACTCCTATTGTCGTCCTTCCAAGCTATCCAAGCTATCTTTACTATCTTTACTATCTTCAACCTAACTCACCATCTTCCTATCGTCGTTTCAAGCTATCTTTACTTTAGTATCTTTACTATCTTCAACCTAACTCACCATTTTCCTATCGTCGTTTAAGTTATTTCACCGTCCTGCTATCGTCGTTTCAAACTATCTTTACTTTAGTATCTCGTTTCAAGCTTTCTTTACTTTATTATCTTTACTATCTTCAACCTATGGGTACCGCCGCTCGACCACGTGCTCCTAGAGCAATTCGAGATCAACGAGTTCTTCCATCTTGTATTGAACCGACCTTGTTGCCATCTACCGTTCCGAACCCTCCGCCAATCACCGAAACGCCAAAGACCTCCAGAGTCAAGGCTGAATGGGACGACGAAGATGACTTGTTGATGATTGAGGTTCTCACGGCTGATCGACACTGTTGTTGAACAGCAAGGAGCTGTTTAAGAAATTGTAGTTTGAGCAGCTTTTGATGTTTGGCACGTTTCTCAGGTGTGAGAGATTGAATTGAAGCACGTGGACGATGCTCCATGATGTTTTAAATGGCGTGATGTGAAATGTTACGATGATACAAAAAAAATGAAGAGTTTGGTCGTTGATGACCTAGATGGATGGATGAGTGGATGAGTGGATGAGTGGAAACGAAAAAGAAAACGAAAACGAAACGAAACGATTGATTTTCAAGTTTCAATCAAGTTTCGTTTGAAAAAATGGTTTCATTTCTTGTTTACCAAACAGTTGAACGCTGATCAAATGGTCAACGACGATTATTTCGATCTTTCGTTGACCAATTTGGTCAACTGTTCGGTAAACGAAAAAGCCGAAATTCGGTATTTCAATCTGCCCCTTTTTCAAGGGGCAGATCGAAAAATCGTTTTTGGGTAACGATTATTTCGAAATCCAGCCGAACGGGCCCTTAGCTTCTTGTAAATTGAAATGTTTTGAATCCAGTACTGCTATTTTGTTATATGTTGGTCCTTGAGAAAAAATGGAAAAAGTTACAGCTTGTATTTTTAACCGGATTTAACACAGCAAACACTGTATTTTTTTGTTTTCAGTGGTGAATCTTGAGGTTTAATCTTTTTTGGGTAGCAAAAAACTTTCTTTTTTTTCTCAATGTCCAACATATAATGGAATAGCTGTAACACTCACAAACAAGTGAAATGAAAACAGTTAGAATGTGTGTGGCTAAAAGTCCCTTGATATGTAACCAAGGGATGGTAAATTTCACATTCCTAAAAACCCTAACACCCCACGGACAGAGGAACACTTTAAAAAGAAAACGTGAGGAACTGAACAACAAAACTATCACTATAAGATAATAAATGTTTAACAAAAACTTCTTCATAAAATAACCTTTAATAAAAATATATATATCAAACACAACCAAATCAATATCATAATTAAACCAAAAAACCGCCATAAAAACGACTAAAATGATTAATTAGATAACAATGGGTCAATAGATTTTTACACTCAATGGAATTTACACTCAATATTGAGTGTAAGTTGTTGAGTGTAAAAATCAACTTACATGGGGGTGAATCACAATTTTACACTCAATCCGGCCAAAATTTTGGAGTGTAATCATTTATGGTACTCAAAACCACTAGGTTCAAGCCACCTTTTTCAAAAAATGTGAAAAACATAGACTCAAAGTTGATCTTTTTGCAGGGTAATTCCTGGGAATTCTCTGGAACTTTTTTTGGAGCTCTGTACGGTTCATTTTCTCCAAAAAACAACATTTTGAAAGCAGGTTTTCAAGAAAGGTAGCACGGACCTAGTGGTTTTGAGTACCGTAATTGATGTGTAATTAATTGAGTGTAAAAAGCTAAATGAGCTAGCTTAACAACAAGCCCACTGTGCCAGGTGATTTTTCTCGGACTCGTCCGCCCCTGGCACAGGGGGCTTGCATATTAAACAACAATCTTTGCGTGACTAATAGCCTCCTTTTGGTGGGCATTTTTTAACTTCGCTTTTCCACCACAAGTCACAAGTGGGTTTTTTCCAAAAAAACAGTCAGATGAGCTCTGTCAAGCTCTGAAGGAAATGGCCTCTTCAGAATCTCAACAGAGCTCATGATCGTGTTGATTCATTGAGGCTCCTTGTTTTGAGATTTGGAATTGTGACCCCTAAGATTGTTATGTGTGACCTCAGAAAGGCTTGAGAGATGGTCAATTGACTCCCTGTAATGTCTTTGAACAAACTTGTTACTCGTTTCCCAGCTGGATTCTTGTGAGCTGGCACATTTTGATTCTCTTTTTTTTCTAATAGACGTTAAGTACAAGATGCTGAACTCATACCAACCAGTTTCAGAAATAAGATCAAAGTAATATTGACTGAGATAGGATCGATTGTATCCAAAAGTGACCCAGATTTCACTTTTTGGGGCTATTGGTCACGCCAGAGATGTTCTTTAATGTGCACGTCCCTTGTGCCTTGGCTTTGGGTTACCATGAGCTTTTGCACAATTGGACTTGGGTTAAGTTAGAAAGGACTGTTGTCAACTTACAATTTTACACCTGACATTTTAACACTCCATTTGTAGTGTAAAAACCATCAGTGCAAATATGTATTTTCAGGGGCCAAAATCCATTTTTGCATTCAAAAGCCTTTACACTCAAAAAGCAGTGCAAGTGCTTGGAGTGCAGAATTATAAAGCTCTACCCAAAATTTACAATTTTACACATTATTTCCCAGGCACTTCCTTGCACACAATACAATTTTGGACCAAGGATTTTCCGCAGCCGAATCTCATCAGATTCACCCCGGTGCTGCTCCCCACCACATCACGCCCACCCCTCACTGCAACAGTGCACTGCAAATCCAAATTGATCATTATACTGAGCAAAAGCCTTCATTGAGAAATAACTCAACTTTCTCATAATTCTTACTCTTTTTCACCAGCTCATCATAAGATCATTATCAAACTTGTTTTTCTTGCTGATCTCGCAGTTATGATGACTCTCATATTCAGTTATATTTCATTTCATTCACAAATGATGGTAAAATATAAAACAAAACCATTCAATTATTTACAAATGATAAAAGCAAACAATTCACAGCCCCCATCTACTAGGCTCTGGCAGGCCAGAGCCTACCACCAACTCCATGAAAGATTCATGAAAGATTCAGAAAGATTTCAAAAAGACTTCAACATAATATCATGTGGGGCCATTTGCCTGTCTGACCACCAAAATTCCGATGTCATCATATGATGTCATAAATCTGTACGCACCTGCTCCTGTATTCACAGATCAAGAATATATAGTCTATTAAACTTTATCATGTAAATTGACTGAGTTATTGCGGTTTGAAAAAAAATCACGGATAAGGCTGTGATGTTTGGTTTGCTGCTTTACATCAAATAGAGTTTGTTGTACATTGGGCATTGAGCCTCTTTCTTATGGTTGGGGTTTATGAATCCATCAGCTTTGTCTTTATTGCACAATCCTTGACCAGTACCCTTCCAATGTTACTTGGCATCAGTGTATCTTTTTTTGATACAAGTCCATTGTTTTGCTAATTCACCACCATTGAGATTCAACTTTTCTGGACTAGAAGTGTTGGTGAGTCCAAGACAATCTTTGTGCATATTGTTGACTATAGCAGCAAGTACGTTTCATTCAGCATCAAGACTAAGTCCACCAACACTAGTCTTTGCTCCAGAAGCCAACAACTTTGCGTGATTGGCTGGCTGGCTGAGATGATTAATAAGGGCCTGTTCAGACACTGCGAGCAGATACGATGTGGCCAAAATTTACACCAGAAAAATTACATGTGGCCACATCGTATCTCGGCCCAATCTCAACCAGATAGCCGGAATCTGATCGGCGTTTGTTTCAACAATCTGGGGTCAATATCTGATGGGGCACATTGAGATATTGGTCCATATCAAGATACAGCCTTTTTGCTGTATCTTGCCCCAATATCTTGATGTGCCCCATCCCCAAATCCCAACCTCCCATCCTTTCATCCATCATATTCTCCTTTTCTTGTTACCCACACACCACCAATAAGCTATTTCCAGATACATATGGTAGTCTTTCCACCTAGGCTTCCTTTTGTCTCTTTTCCACTCTCTCCAAGCACTCTTTGATTTCATGACATCCCATTACTTGATTTCACTGTTCCATCTATCATCTCTTTGTATTGAAACTATCTGTTTCAGCTCTTTATTGCTCCTCTTATTTCCTCAAGTCTGTCAGTTTTTTACTTGGTCAAGTCTCAAGTAATTTTACTCGTTCAAGTCTGCTATCCTTCTATTTTTACTTGGTCTGCTAGTTTTTTATCAAATCTCAAGCTATTTTACTTGTTCAAGTCTGCTATTTTCACTCGGTCTACTAGTTTTTTTACCAAGTCTCAAGTTATTCTACTTGTTCAAGTCTCAAGCTATTCTTTCACTCGGTCTGCTAGTTTTTTACTAAGTCTCAAGTTATTTTACTAGGTCTGCTGATTATTTTAATTGATCAGGTCTCAATTTCTTTTACTTGGTCAATCATCAAGTTCCTTTTATATTTGTCTTATTTTTATCTGCTCAAGATTCTGCTAGTTATTTTACTTGGTCAATTCTCAAGTAGCTTTACATTGGTCAATCCCAAGTTCTTTTTATAATTGCTGTATTTTTATTTGCTCAAGACTCAAAATTTCATTTACATTGCCTATAGTGAGTTTCCTTTTCTTTTCCTTGTTGTCATAACCACTATCGCTCCAGCTGGGGAGCTCAGAGGCGCCACTGACAGGTTCAGGCTGCTACCTCCCCAGCTCACGGTTCATGTGGCTGGGGATTGGCAGGTTCAAGTCTATTCCACCGTGTCTCTCAACTTCTGCTCCCTCTACAATCTCACTCAATTCATTGATTGACCTATCTATCCCTTTACCCAGGAACTGAAACTTCTTTCTAGTTCTTTCAATTCTTTTTTATTAGATCAAGCCTTGAGTTTGTTTTACATAGTATTCAACTATTGTCTACAGTGAGTTTTTTTTCTTTCAATGTAATCATGGTTGTCATCACAAGCTGATTATCATTGATGATTTCAGTGTTTTTCTCAATGGCTAACGACAAAAAGCCAGCTAGACCTTGGGCAAAACGAGCCATCAGAACAGCTCCCTCTGCCACCAATCCTACCACCCAACTTGCAATCAATCCTACCACCCAACCTGCCACCCAACCTGACAAGAAGAAGTGGGACTCTGCTAAATGGGACAATGAGGACAGTCATGTTCTAATCAATGTCCTCCTTGATGAACGTTGCTCAGGGGATGGCAAACCCATTGGGCCCCAAAATGCTACCAGTGCCCATGGATTCAAGGTGCCAGTCTGGAATGCTGCGGTTGAAAAGCTTAAAGGTAGTGAAAAGAAGCTTATCAATGGTAAAACTAGCTTACCCAAAACAGCTGACAACTGCAAGTCAAGGTGGTACACTGTAAGCACATCTTTTATTTTCTTTCAATCTCATTTCAACATCTTCTGCTTGCTTTACTAACATTGATCTATCCATCAAATCAACTCTGTAGTTACGAGGTCTTTATAACGACTATAAACACCTTTCCTAACTTAGTGGGGCAGGATGGTCTGATGGATGCATTGTTCTTCCAGATGAAGTCTGGGATCCAATCCTAAATGGAAAGGTAGGTTTTTATTATTATCATTTTCTTCTTGATATTGTTTTGATTTAACTAATTTTCTTGCGTTTCCTCTCAGGATAAGGACAGCAGGAAGTCTAAAGACTATGCCCAATGTAAGGGCTGACCGTTTCCCTTTTTTGACAATTTGGCTCCGCTTGTGGAGGGCCATCAAGCAACTGCAAAGTACGTCAAGACAGCCATTGTCAAAAAGAAAGACCCCCCTCAAGATCATCCTCCAACACCCTCAACCTCGGCTTCCAAATCAAGTTTGACTCATCCCCACACCCTTTCACCCAACTCATCCGGATCTGACTTACCGGATGCAGGTCAAACACTCCAGCCAATCTCAGCTCATGATTCCTCTAGCTCTGATCACAAATATGCCACCAACAGACATGGTAAGTTTGCCTCCTACGAAAGGCACGCATCGTGGGACTGGTCCATGGAAAAGAAAGTGCGCGCTCTCTATGAAGATACAATTCCTAGAAAGTGAAATTATGTGGAAAGAGACAACTTATAGAGAACTCTCTAACCCAATCAGGTTAAATGATCTAGGACCTATGACCTTCAGAGGAGGATGAGTCACAGCTCAATTCCTGCTGTCCTCAGATCACGTCCTAGAGAAGAGTTGTATAACAAGCTATTCGTATTTGACTTTGTTCTCTAGTCCAATTTATTTATTTCACTGATTTATCATCATCTCTTTAGTTTCCATCTCCTAATCTACAATCCATTCTAGAGTTTTAATACTCCAAATAGTTATCTATTTTATTTTTGAATTTTATACAAACAAATCTTATACAAACTTATCACTACTATCTACCTTACTTCAATCACTTCGCATTCACTCTGAATTAACAATAACACCCAGAGACACTACCTTAACTACATCTGTACTTAACCTGTAAACAACATGGCGATTACCGAGTCCAGAGCTATCAGGGCTAACAGAAGAGCACAAGGTCTCGAAAACCAGTCAAGTGCCAACATCAACGACGAACCGACAACCTCATCCCTAGACGGTGAAAACCTCCCTCCAGATCCAGAGAAGGATGTAGGCGACGACTCTGACTCATCGGGGGAATCGATGAACCCCACCGGGAGAGTAACCAACTCGAACCCAAACAACAGCAACACCAGCAACAGGAATCAAGATGGCAAAAGACAAGTTGAAGAAGACCCAAATCAAGCACAGCAAATGCAGATTGATGCAGAAAATGAAGATGAAAACAGAATTGAATCAGAAGAAGAGTCGAAATCAGAATCCGAAGATGAAAGTCTGTCAGGCGACTTTCGCGATTCAAGCAGTTCAAGTTCTTCAAGCGAAGAGTCAAACTCGGATCAATCCTCCGATTCAGAAGAAGACGAGAGCGAATCAGAGTCGAATCAGTCAACAAGCGAATCAGACTCAGAAAGCTCAAGCACTGACTCGATCTCCTCAGGATCACCTTCGTATTCAGATTCTTCAGAATCAAGCAATAACTCCAGCTCCTCTTCTGAAGAAGATGGTAGAAGACATAGGAAAGAGAAGAAAAAACGTAAGCAGCATTGGAAGATTTACCCCAACTATTTCCTTCTTATTATTTCCATCGATGTCAATATCATCGGCTACACAAATCCTACCACACACATCAACCCTCCCATCTATCACTCATTCCATTCTATCACTCATTCTCTTCTATCAACCATACGAAACATCCTGGCCCTGGCATAACATGCACAGAGGACTCGAAATAAGAAAAAAAAAATCAAAGCAACTCATGGCCCTGGTCATAAGACTTCAGAGGACTCGAGTATTAATCGCTCGCTTCTAGCTAGAGTATGAAAAATCCCAGAAAGAATACGATCTGCTTTATTCTTCTTAGAACCAACCCTTAGTCACCATAAATTTACGAGTGAAACAATTCTAACGGGAAACTCACTTCTATGTTACAGACTCGAGTAAGAAAGTCAAGAAAAACAAGAAGCATAAGTCGAAATCAAAATCCAAAAAGATATTGAAAGGGAAAGATAAAGCTAGAAGTTCCAAGAACAAGAAGTTAAAGAAGAAGAAGAACAAATCGAAGTCATCCAAAAAGAAAGTCGAGATAGAGATAGAGATAGGATCAGTCCCGACAGGAGATTTAGTTGCACTGCAACCTTTCTGGAGTGACCAAATGACGGACTTACATTCATCCATCCCATTAACCGTATTCGACCAAACTTTCGCCAGAGCAGACAGAGAAGAATACAACAAGAATCATCATTCATCATCTTTGAAGAACAAGTCGAATAAAGGCCTGGACGCACCTTCAGAGTACAAATTAACGTTTGGTGAATGGGCGGAATGTATGAGTTTATTTAGAAGATATTTGGCAGGATACTATGGTCAAAAATTGCTAGCAAAAAGATTGAAATTACACATAGAAAACGTGAAGACCATAAAGTAAGCAGCATCTCACAACCCAGATTGTAAAGTGAATCTTAACAGAAAAAACAATAACTGATTTAGTGATGAGCAGGCGTTCTACAGAATGCTGGATGACAGCATTAAGGTATGACATTTTATGTAGATCGCAAGTGTTCGTTAAAAGAGTAGGGAAGACCCCAATGAAAGACATCGGTATCTTAATGACGAAATACAAAAACCAAGCGAAAGACAAGTCTTTAAGAGCGGGCGAAGCAAATGGAGGTGATTCAAACCCGTACGCCAAAGGCGGGAGAATGGAGTTCCGTCATCCAGAGACCGGTCTTTACAAGTAAGAAATTGAATCCTTCTGTATAATACATACCTTCATATGCTAATGAAGATTCGAACAAACTTCATTCAGCAATCCCAATCATACAAATAGCAACCTAAGATCTACAAGAATGAATTAAGAAAGTCAACCTTTGAAAAGGAAAAGAGGGAAGAGAAGCAACCACCAGACGACTCACCAAACGTCACATCTACCCACAGTGGTTCAGCCATTACCTAAGAATTTAAACCACCCGTTACCGGTAAACCCTTCAACCTACCAAAATAACCACCAACCACTTCAACAAGGCCCTAGCTCATTCAATAGAGCACCAAATAGAGGTGGGAGAGGTAGTTGGAGAGGAGGAAGAGGCGGTTTTCATAACGGTAGAAATGAGGGGTAAGCAAATTACAGAGATATAACGCCTATTCCATCACAGACCCACCCCACAACCCCCTGATCTTTTCATTACTGTCTCTGTTCAATCTTTCCTTCCAAATTTTGCATACACGTTTCGGATTTATTATGTCTTTTCCACATCCCTCTTGATTAACAACCGATATGTCAGAGATTAATTTACCAATCGACAATGAAGCTCTTTTCCTTTTCTCCCAGTTTTTGTCACTCCTTTGTTCCTTTTATACACTCATGCTTCAGTCTTAAATCTACACACTCCTTATGCCATATATGTCTGCAATGAATAATATTAATAATTGATTACGAAAACAAGAAGAGCTTACAAAACTTTGTGTGATCCGCACCCTTAATAAGTAGGAAAGAAAGTCACAAGCATAAACCCGAGATGACAACAACCGAAGGAAAGAGAACTCCTGCGGAGACAAAAGGAAACGATGAGGCAAGAAAGCCTGTATGGCCAAAAGGCACAAAATGCAACATGAAAATAAAAGAATGGAGGAAGGCATTAGAAAAACATAACCTACTACCACGATTGCAATTCATACTAGACGGTTTCAAGCACGGATTCAACCAAGGGATACCTAACCACACGATAGAAGGGTTCCAATTTTTCTGCCCACCCAACCACCAGTCCGCTCTTTCGGCTAGAGAAGACATAGAAAAGAACATAAGGCAGGAAGTCGAAGCAGGTCGGATGTATGGTCCGTACACCAAGGAAGAAATGTCACGAAAGTATAAGTTCTTTCGCTCTAGCCCATTAGGAGCAGTGGTGAATGGAGACGGGTCATTTAGACCAATCAATGATCTATCTTTTCCGAAAAATAACCCCCAGATACCAAGCGTCAACTCTTTCGTCAACAAAGAAGACTTCAAAACGACCTGGGACAATTTCGAAAAGGTAGCTCTACATATAGCGAACGCCTCGGTACCTCTACAGATCGCACTATTTGACTGGTTAAAGGCCTACCGCCAAATAGGCACTCACCATAGTCGATGGCCATATTTACTCATTCAAGACTTTAACAAACTTCTTTACATAGACCTGTGCATCTCATTTGGGGGAGTAGCAGGCTGCGGAAGTTTCGGTGGCCCGGCAGATGCGTGGAAGGAACTAGTCGAATTGGAGTTTGGTCTCAACAAGGTGTTTCGCTGGGTTGATGACAACCTAGTCATCAAAGAAAAGTCAGACAACCTGAGCATGGATGACATTGTCTCCTACAGTACCAACCTCGGCGTTAGAACCAACGACACTAAATTCACTCATTTCAGCGACGAGCAGAAATATATAGGCTTCCTATGGAACGTGGCCAACAAGACAGTTTGCTTACCTCAAAAGAAATTAGACGAAAGAATCCAACAACTAGAAGAATTCCTAGAGAAGGTAGACTACACATATAAAGAGGTAGAAAAATTATACGGGCGCTTGTGCCACGTTTCATACGTTGCACCACAGCTGAGGTGCTACCTAAGAAGCGGATTTTGTTGGAAGTGTGAATGGGTGAAGAAGGAGGCGAAGAGAAAGATGCCGCAGCAGGTGAGAGACGACCTAGCAGTCTGGAGCAAGGCCTTAGATGCCTTCCCAAACCGCCTTCTGTTAAAGACCAGAAACATCAACAATGTCGGTTGGGTGGGCGACGCGTCAACCTCATTCGGGATAGGAGTCATAGTAGGTAAAAACTGGGCTCAATTCAAATTACAACCGAACTGGGAAAGACCTCTCGGAAAGCCAACTCGAGGTATAGCGTGGCTCGAAACTGTAACAGTTCGCTTAGGACTGCTGGTAGTACAAAAAATTAGACCTTTGGAAGGCGAGCGCTTACTTGTGTTGACAGACAATACGACCACGGAAGGCGTCCTTCGGAACGAATCCTCCCGTGATTTTTGGGTAAACAAGGAGTGGAAGAGTATTTCAACTTTGCTTTTTCAGCACGATTGCCAACTAGAGCAAAGACACGTATCTACTTTGGATAACGCTGTGGACGAACTGTCCCGCAGTTTGACCTCATCGAAACCATGGTACCTCCAAGTGCATATTGAAATTCCAGAGGACTTGACACCTTGGCTACAAGATATAGAACGACTACCACCCCTCCAATCAATATAAAAACCACTCATCGAGCCCCTCAACATTTCCTCTACTCCCTTTCCTCACAACTCTTCCTTATACCTCTTTACGCGCAGAAATAATTTCCTCTACGCCGCCAGCATACCATTCCAACACGCGTATCACGACCCCTCTTAAGTTCGAATACCCACGTTTTAGACGCTCACAGACAAGACTCGTTCGACGTAGCTCTCTTTCCGATTGACCTTTGAACGATACCTTATTACACGTAAGCCCAGGGATTACTGGAGACCCCACACGTCTTCGTAGGTAACTGAACCTCCTCTTCGCGATGGCCGTTATTCTCCTTAGGTACCATCATGAAGTGCATCAAATCCTTTCTTCGAATCAAAGACGACAAGAAGACCCCCTTAACTCGAGCCCAGCGTCATATGATCAGAGCTGGCTGGGCCCGATCCACGATAGAGGCTTACGCTTCTGGAGTCAAGAAGTTTAAATTATTCACATCCTTGAAACACCTTCAGGCGTTCCCGGCATCCTGCGATACCGTCGAAAGGTTCATCATATGGGCAGGCCATAACGTCAACCCGAACGCTACTAACAAACCAGTCAAAGTGTCTACGATCACCAAGTATTTAACCGCCTTACGCACGTGGCACGCCTTTCATGGCTACAACTTCCCTAACATCCACCTCACCCGCCTAAAGACGCTCCTTCGAGCATTGAAGAACCTGGAAGTCAGAGCACCTGTACAGAAGCTTAATCAACAACCGATAACCCCCAAAGCCTTGCTAGCCCTGGTTGCGAACATAGCGGAATTTGAAGTCGACCCAAAAGGCCTGACCGCACTAGTCCTCACAGCCTATTGGGGACTCGGCCGGTTAGGGGAACTCGTCTATAAGTCAACCTTGTATGATCGACACGACCATCGCGCTATCTTGCGTTCCGACATTCGCTTCTACAAAGACAACAACTTAAGCTGCGCTGAAATCACCTTACGCGAATCTAAGACCGCCGCCCCAGGTGTGACTCAACCCCTAACTCTTCGAGCGACAGGCGGAGTACTTTGCCCAGTGGAGGCCTTAAAGAACCTGGTAGCCTGTTTGGAAAGAGTCAAAGACCCCAGGTTGTTCATGACCTGGGGAAAAGACGGCACTACTGCGATCACGAGGAACTTGGTGGTGAGCGCCATGGAGCGTACTTGGGGTAAGAACTCGAGTATGACTGGTCACTCCTTCAGGATAGGCGGAGCGACCTTATTGACGAAGGCAGGAGTCAGCTTAGCGGCGATTAAGAAATTGGGAAGATGGGAGTCCTCTTGTCATGCGTTGTACCAGCGAGAATGGAACGAGCACGACTGGGAATCAGCAAAGCGGATCTTGTTGATAACAGAAGATGTAATTCCTCACTTCTCGGCTTGACCTCTGACCGTTGCACACACCCCATTACTGGCTGAACCCACACCCCATGCTCTGTATCTAGATATTCCATATTTTTCTATCTCTCTATTCTCCTATTTCTTGAAATTCTATCAAAGTTTTTTATCGTCCTTCAATGAGACGTCCGTTCGGCTTAAAAACCCACCTCAGCGCTATGGAAGGGTAACGACTAGAAGTGTCGGCGACAGGGATGGGAGAAGCCCAGCTAGGCTCAGGCCTGTCACCTGAGTTTAGGGAGATCAGGCCTTCTCCTTCATCCTTTAAAAACGTACTAATACTGGTTTCGCACGACTTAGAGAAGGGTTCACACTAGTGGTTTGAACTCTCCCCTAAGAGAAACCTACTAACACGTTTCTATTTTTACTCCAGGTTTCAGGGGAAGGGGAAACTTCCCCTGGAGCCTACCACCCACTTCTACTTCCTTACCTCACTTAGTAAAAAAACTAAGCAAGGTAAGGAATAACTTTATTAAGAAATGTAAGAGTTACTGTTTGAGAATGGACTGAGGTGGCCCTCAAGCAACGTACTCCTGCTCCGCCTTGCAAGAAAAAAAGAACTGGTGTTGAAATTGTTGACAGATTATCAACCAACCTACACAATATGAGTACCTTTTTCAAATCTTCTATCTCTTTGACTGAGAGTGCTGTCAAATCAACTGCTCAAGCCATCAACGCTGCTAAGCCTTCAGTCTATGCTCAAACTGTCAGCCTCATATATAAATCTGAGTTGACTCGCCCACAATGTTTTTCAGCGGTCAAGTTATTTACCGATGAGCCTGTAATGGCTGAGACTTATCTCAGCACTCCAGCTGAGATTTGTGATGAATGGGTTTTATCTGTCCTTGCTGTTTAGGTGAGAAAATTTGTCTACAATTTATTTTGTGAAGATCACTGATGTGTCGTCTTTTCCTTTTCCTTTTTGTCTCATTTGTCTTTATCTTCTTGTTTTATTTATCTTTAATCTTTTATCTTTCCATTCCGTTCCATTTCTTTACTTTCAGTGTCAATTTCATTTCTCTTTCATGTGCACAGCCTTGTGTCTTCAAGCACAAACTTATATTGATCTTCTCACAGTGTCATTTGACTAGTCACTGGCAGGCCAGTGAGTTCCAATCACCTTGATCCAATCTCAATTCAATCTCAGTTAAATATCAGTTTGACCTCCAATCATGTTTGAGTGGGGGATATACATGGGCTGCATAATCACTCAAACCTTCCAGAAATTCTGACACCTTTATGTGTGGACATGCAACCAAACTTTATTCCAGTTAATTCTGGAAGGTTGTTTGTCTGCTAATCTAGGCCAAACATTGAGATTGGATTGATATTGAACTGACAGGGATTTGAGATTGGATTGAGATTGGATTGAGGTGGACGTACTCACTGGCCTGCCAGTGAGTAGCAAAATGACACTGTGTCTCTTACCTGGGTTATCATGTAAACATTATTATTATATACACAATGTTATCTACTTGTAATTGGTTTAAAACTCATAAATGTGAAAACAATTACAAGTAATCTTTGCTTCTAGATAAGTGAACATAGTGAGAGAAGATACATTAAATGAGAGTATTAGTCAACTCTGAGTAATACATGTAAGATAGTAAAAATTAAGTGTAATGATGTAATATAATTGAGGTAACCTACAAATACCAGCATACTTGGGAGGTTTTCCATGTCTTTGTCTACTTCAATTTACGTCTCTTCTTCTTTCTGTGTCTTTCTGATAATCCTCCCACATATCAGCTGCAATTGAAGCTTGAAGTCTTTTAGCATTGTTATTACGTTCAGCTGTACTACTGTAATGTTCTAAGTTATCATCTTGATCTTGAGTGACAGGTGCAGTTGAATCTTGAGGATCAGGAATGAAATCGTCTCTAAACAGCGGGAATTCTTCATTTAAACCATTTGGATCTTTTGCGCGGATGAATTTGTGAATAAAACACATAACTGTGACCATAGATATTTGAATCTCAATAGTATATTGACATCCGCGTGCCATGATCTTCAAGTGCTTCTTGCGGACTCCAAAAATGCACTCAATGACGTTACAAGCACTAGCATGCCAGAGATTGAAAAGTTCTTCTGCATTTTGAGGTCTGAGATGAAAGGATGGAAAAGGTGGGAAAGAATAAAAAGGAGAAAAGGATGATAAAAAAGAATGCTGACCTGAAGGCTCTTTTTTCCCACTCTCGTAAATGATAACGCACTTTTTGAAATGGAACAAGACAAGTTTTGGTGAGAGCAAAACCTGTGTCACCAAGATAGTACTTTCCTGCTGGAATTGCAAGGTCACGATCTCGAGCCATATTCCAAAGAGCCCCATCAGCCACACTACCTTCAGCTCCAACCAATAAATATATAAACTCCGTGTTGAAATTACACGCAGCAAGGACATTTTGGGATGTATAGCTTTTACGATTAGAGAAAGGAACATATTCAGAAGCTGGTGGAGTGACTGGAATGTGTGTACCGTCAATTGCACCAATGCAGTCTTTGAAATAAGGCATGAATTTGGGATTTGTAGAGAAGTCTTCAGGGAGTGGTGTTTGAGCATCAGGAAGAGAAATATATTTTTTAAGTAACTCTCCATTCCCAGAAATCCCTTTAACGAGTTGATTAATTATTCTAGTCAAAAGGAAACATATTAGAACAAATTAATAAGAAAACTCGGAAAGAAAAACGAACTTAGAAACACTATCAGCAGATTGTTGAAAGTGGTTCTGAAGTTTGCGATTTGAGAGACCAGTTGAAATAGTATAGAGTAGAAGAGCTAATTTCTCAATTGCAGTTATAAAACGTGAGTTGTACAGAATTCCAGTTTCTTCAAGCACAGAGCGTAGTTCAAAGAAAACATGTTTGTGCATGCTGAGATTCTCATGAAAAACTGAATTGTTTGGATTATTGATGAGTTCATCAATCCAAGCTTGACCACTGAGGATAGAGGTGAGGTGTGGTGTTTTGTAGAGCTGCGGAAGAAGTTGTCTAATGCAGATTTGACTACCAATGCTCAAATAGGTGAACATGGCAAAATGTTGCTTTTGAATAGCAAGAACTTGTTTGATAAATTTTAATTTTAATAACTTCTCATTTTGAGTGTGATCATGAGTGTGTAGTGATCTTGAAAACGGGTGAGTACAACACTGTATTTTGTTTGAGCCCGTGTTGTGTGATGACATTACAAGGTAGTCGGTTTAATTTTGTACAGGTGGTTTGGTTTTGTAGAGAGAAGTTTGAGAACAATGATGATGAACAAAGAAGATGGAAGAAGAACAAATTCAATGATTGAACATGATGAACAAAGAAAACAAAGGTCTGGATGACCTTTTCACCAGGGAGAGTCAAACAAAAACATGAGATACCACCTGGTTGTCACCAAACAGCAATATGATCCTCTCAAGGTCAACAGACGTCTGTTGACCTCTTTTGGTTCGCTGTTTGGTAATCACAATTTCCAAATTCCAACAATCTCGATGTGCCCCTTGAGATAGGGGCAAACTGAATTTCGGTTTTCAGGTCATATAATACTTGAAAAGGAACCAAACGGGCCCTAAGGAAAGCTAAGTTGATATTGTCCAAGGGAGGTTCTCTGAATTTGGATTCTGTTTCATCTTTTTCTTTCTTTTGGGATTCTGCTTCTTTTTTCTTTTTAGCTGTAACTGATGAGTAAGTCATACGTGGTTGGGTTGGTACAGGAGGTGCTGGTGATGGTAGTGGGCAAGTTATTAGAGGAGCTTTGCTTGTTGAACTCTTTGGGTTCATTAAAATTGATATTGCTTCAGACTTGTGGATGATTGCAGCTGTTATCGGTGTGTTAGGTAGAAGGTTTTGGGTGTTCAGAATCTTGGCGTCATCCACTGCAATTGTGGTGTTGCTGCCGTGGTTCCGAGTGATGGTAGGCTTTGATGATGATGGTTTCATCATTGCTGATCAGATGGAGTTAAGGGTTAGTAGACAATGATGATGGATTAGTACACTTGAAACTCACCAAAACTGATTTTGAGTTCAAAGTTTAGAGACTGGTGATGTGACCAGACTGTAGATAAGATCAAATCCTGTTGATGCTAACTCACAGTCACAGCTGATAGCAGAGCTTGAATCCTGTCAAGGTTGCAATCAGTTGCTTGGTTTAGAGTTGAATAAGCAAAAAGAAGAGTTGATTGATGGTCAAGAGGCAATTTGATTGATACTTGGTGGATAAATGGATTGATAATTGGAAGATGGAAAGGGGAATGTGAGAACAAAAAGAGAGAAAGGGACTGAGACAATTAATGTGGTAAGAGATAATGCAAGGATGTGAAGCGCTGTTTACCCTCATTTGTTGGCTAGTGAAAACCCACGGGTTCTCTTTGGGTTTCCCGGTGTAGTCGTATTTTGTTGTAAGTTTATGTTTTTACAAGAACAGGATACATAAAACTTTCCCATTCTTGTAAATTTTAAGTAAATTTATGCTATGACGGCAAAGTTTTTTACGGTTTTTACTGTAAAAAATTTAAACTTGACATCCCCTAATAACAACAAACAAATACTCTCTGCTTGTCTTCTCTTTTTTTATAAACAGACATAAGGGAGGAGAGGGTGGGTAATAAAAAATCACTAGAGAATCAAACCGTACTATGATGAATGAGTTTGTGAGAACTAGTGAAGTTGAGATGGATGAGTAAAGAGAAATCAGTAACAATGATGTGGTAAACATTTGATGATGTCAGAGTTAAACCACCTCTTTACTAAAAAGTCCGACCCGTCGGAAACAAAATGTAAGTCCTGTTATTTAACATTCCTATCTGTTAATAACAAGTGACCAACTTCAAGAAACGTTTTAAATCCAGTAACACTCACAAACAAGTGAAATGAAAACAGTTAGAATTATGGGATACAAAGTTGAATTGGGGAATGGTCCCGGATTTTTTCCCAATTAATTCCCAAATCCTGTTTTTAGCGGTAGTTTGGATTTTGGGAAAAAATCCAGATTTTTTTAACTTTGAATCCCCGGTTGCTCCATCAGCCATTACACCTCTTTTTTCCCAAATTTCAACTCAATTTGGGAATTTGG